TGAGTAGATGAAGGCAGCGGTTGATCAAGAGAAAACGGGAAGTAGGTGTAAGTATGGCAATCATTGAAAAGATGAGCTGATGATGTGAAGTTGAATGACGATTCAGGAGGCACTGGAATAGAGTGGTCGAGAAGAGGGAAGACGGGTTCAAGCAGATTGGAGAAGTTGAATGACGATGCAGGAGACAGTGAGATCGAGTAGTTTGGGAGAAGGAAAAAGGGTTCAAGCAGTAGGATAAGGCGCTAAGTATTTCGTTGATAAAGGCAGCTGGATAAGCAGATGACAGCAGTGCTTGGATCAGAAAAGTAGGGGGTGGAAGAAGATGGAAGTATGGCATGATGAAATTTTCAACTGAAACTGGTGAAGTTGACGACGCAGGAGACAGAAGAAAGAAGGGTTCAAGCAATGGGATAAAGTGCGATGTAATTCGTTGATGACGGCAGCTTGATAAGCGGATCGGTTCAGTAGGGAAAGTATGGTGATGATGGCACGATGGAATTTTCAACTGAAGCTGGTGAGAGTAGAATGACGATGCAGAATGCAGTGAGATCAAGTAGTCAAGGAGACGGAAGATGGGTCCAATCAGTAGACTAAGGAGAAGTTCAATCCGTTGATGATGACAGTTTGACGAGTAGATGTGATGGTCGATTCAGGAAAAATAGGAGGAATGGCAGTTGAAAATAGGAAATATGTAAATGGAATCCGTTGATGAGGGCAGCTGGATGAGTAGATGAAATGCAGAGGGTGAAATGATGATGCAGGAGGCAGTGTATGGTAGTCGATATGTATGGGGTAAGGAGGCCTTGATGAGAGCATTGAGAAGTAGAAGGCAGTGGTTGATTCAGAAACACAGGTTCAAGCAGTGGGAGCAGCTGAAAGGTCAAGGAATAATGATGCAGGAGGCAGTGTATGGTAGTCGAGGATAGGGACGATCAGTCCAGAGCATGGGATAAGGAGCGATTCAATGCATTGATGAGGGCAGATTGAGAAGTAGATTGGAGGCAGCGGTTGATTCAGAAAGGATGGGAGGCGATGATGGAGGATTGTCAATATAAGTGTCATGGTTGGATATCAATTATGAACATTAACGATTGGATAACGGAAAAATGAGGAATTGAAAAACTGAGGCGATTGAAAGATGAGGAGATTAAAAGTGTTAAGATGATTGAAGTATGCAGAGATGACGTATGGAAGGTGACAAACAGAGGGTGTTCGTATGGAGAACGGAAGTATGAAACAATGCAGAATGAGACAATATGAAGGAGGATTGAATCAGAGGAGTGAACAATGGCCGATTCAACACAATGTAGGGAATGAGGTATTGGCAAGTCAATGAGGATCAATGGAGTGATTGAAATTTTAGTGATTGGATCAACCGAGACTGTCGTCAGTAGTTGAATCAGGTTGAAAGTAAAAAGTGCCATCAAGAAGTAACTTTGAAAAGTGACGTTGAGAAGTGACGTTGAAAAGAGGCGTTGAGAAGTGACGTTGAAAAGTGACGTTGAAAAGTAACGTTGGAAAGTAACGTTGAAAAATAACGTTGAGAAGTAACGTTGAAAAGTAACGTTGAAAAGTGGCTTTGCAAAGTGGCTTTGAAAAGTGGCTTTGGAAAGTGATGTTGAAAAGTGACGTTCGAAAGTGATGTTGAGAAGTGTCATCAAAGGTGTGTCGCGTCAATTCAGTCGTGAAATGATGTCAGAAGGATGGAGTCAAAATCCATAGGTATTTAGTCAACGAGTGAGGCTTAGAGACGAGGCCGAGTTTCTGCTGAAACCAAGAGTTCAGATGAGGTGAAAGGTCTGATGCAGGTCAACTTAATATATGAAGACGGAAAACGTTGCTTCAGATGGGTCATGGAGACAAGATGTGGATTGAGAGAATGTGCAGATGAGCTGATGTAGTTTGTCTGAAGAGTGGTGATGAGAAGTGGTGAGATATTGTGGTTTGACTGATGATTTGCAGGGGTGGCGGCGGGCGTGGGGGCGGACGGGCGGGGTGGCGGACATGTGGCTTCCGCGCCTGCACGTGCAACCGCAGGCAGCTGGGCTGCTGGGGACCATTGGGCGATGTGGAGTGGCTGCAGATGGGACGAGAGGGAGAATGATGACCGCGTGGAGTTTATGCACGAGTTGGTTGTGGTGGTCTGCACGTCTGCTGCTATGCATGTACTGTAATGCTGCAAAAGCTGGAACAGAGGGTTGAGGACGGTGCAGGGCGAGTGGGACGGTGCAGGGCGAGTGGGACGGTGCAGGGCGAGTGGGACGGTGCAGGGCGAGTGGGACGGTGCAGGGCGAGTGGGACGGTGCAGGGCGAGTGGGACGGTGCAGGGCGAGTGGGACGGTGCAGGGCGAGTGGGACGGTGCAGGGCGAGTGGGACGGTGCAGGGCGAGTGGGACGGTGCAGGGCGAGTGGGACGGTGCAGGGCGAGTGGGACGGTGCAGGGCGAGTGGGACGGTGCAGGGCGAGTGGGACGGTGCAGGGCGAGTGGGACGGTGCAGGGCGAGTGGGACGGTGCAGGGCGAGTGGGACGGTGCAGGGCGAGTGGGACGGTGCAGGGCGAGTGGGACGGTGCAGGGCGAGTGGGACGGTGCAGGGCGAGTGGGACGAGTGGTGTGTGGCTATGCGAGGGATTGGGATCGAGAGGGAAGTTCGCCTGAAAGAGGTCTGGCGGAGGAGGTCTGGCGGAGGAGGTCTTGAGGATTTCTGGCAGGACAATCCGATTATGGGTGTAGAGTGGTTGACTGTCGCGAACGGCGGTCTTAACTTCTTTTCTGAGACTGAGGCGTAGTGATGGGGGCGTGTGCAACGAAGTGGATAGGCTCCAATTGGGGATGTGCGGTGGAGGGAGGCAAGAGGCGGCCGGTGTTGTGACAGGTAGCTGTGATGGTAACAGGTGGAAATGTTGATGGTTGGGCAGTAGCTGTTGTGTTTGGAGTGAGTTAGTGGTAGCTGGTTCAGCTTGGGCGGCGGGTGAAGTGAGGGAGGTAGTGCTGGCGGTTTTGGCTGGAGTGGTTGGTAAATAGGTGATAATAACTGTCTGTTGTGTCGACAGGTCTTGGGGGAAGGTGTTGGGGAAAGGTGTTGGGGAAAGGTCGACAGATGATGAGAGGGTAGACATGAGCAGTGGAGGTAGACATGAGAGGGTGGTGGAGGAAAAAGCTGCTATGTCTGGGCTGGACAGGTGAGGATGAGAGCTAAGGAAGAGCGATTTTGTTAATTTTTTTGTCAGCTGATATGGGAGGTTTCACAAGAGTGCCACGTCACAGTGTGCCTACCCCTGCAGTGCAGTTGGGGGCTGTTCTTGGTTTTTGAGTGTCTTCTTGGTGTATAGGTGCTGTTGTTCCTGGTTCTTGTGGTTTCTCTTCGTGGGCGTATGGTTTGGTTGATGAAGAGCTTGATGCGAAGGTTGCTGTGTTGACGTTAAGGTGCAGATGGCGGGTGGTGGTTGGCGGTTTGTTGAAGAGGGAAGCTGTGACGGAAGTCAGACCAGTTGATGCTGTAGCGGTGTGGCTGCTGTGTGTCTCTGCTCGTGTCCTGCTGCATTGCTGCTGTTCCTGCTGCTGCGAGGCTTGTGCTGGTGGCTGGTGCTGGTTGCTCCCTTTTCCCATACTTCAAACTACAGGAGCTGATGGAATTGGCCGGGGATTGATTGTGTGGTGGGCCGATTCAAGACAGCAGAGAAGTCAGGCAAGCTGACGAGTGGTGCTGTGTAGCTGCTGTTCGCCTCTGCTTGTGTGTTGCTGCCTTGGTGCTGTTCTTTCTTCTGCTGGGTGGTAGTGTTTAGTCACTGGTGCTGGTGGTTCGTGGTTCTGCATCCTCTTTTCAACACCACAGGAGCTGATGCAACGTCCGGGTGAATGCTTGGTGGTGGATTCATGGAAGACAAAGCAAGGCAAGATGATAAGTGACCCTGTGTAGCTGCTGTACGTTCTGAGGTGCTGCTCCTGCTTCTGCTTATTGGGTTGTAGTGGCTGGTGCTGGTGGCTCGTGGCTGGTGCGGTGCTGGTGGTTCGTGGTCCCGTGTTTTCTTTGAACACCACAGGAGCGTGCGTATGCAACATACGGATCAATGCTTGGTGGTGGGTTTAATCAAGAGCAAGCCAGGCAAGCTGATGAGTGACCCTGTGTAGCTGCTGTGCGTTTTGAGGTGCTGCTCCTGCTTCTGCTGGGTTGCTGGTGGCTGTTGGCTGGTCCTGGTGCTCGTGGCTGGTGGCTGGTCGTCCCGTATCCTCCGTTTTACCACAGGAGCTGATGCAACATCTGGACTAATTATGCTGGGCAATTCATTCTTCACAATTACACCAGGCAAGCTGATGAGTGATGCTGTTCACATGCTGCTCTGATGGCTGTCTGTAGCTGCTCTGCTTTGGCACCTGCTGTCCCTGTCTGCTACTGCAGCGTCTTTGGCATCTGTTTTACCCGAAACCCTTCAACGTCTTTGGCGCGCATGTTACCCCGAACCCTGCAACGTCTTTAGCCCGTGTTATCCAAAGCCTTTCTATGTCTTTGGCCCCTGTGTAACCCTAAACCCTTCAACATCTTTGCCCCCTATGTTACCCCAAACCCTGCAACGTATTTAGCCCCTGTGTTTCCCTAAACCTTTTGATGTCTTTGGACCCTGTGTTATCAAAAGCCTTTCAACTGTTTCGGCCCTTAAATAAAACCCATCAACGCCTTTGGCCCTCGTGTTACCCTAAGCCCTTGCACCTTTTTTGCTCCTGTTGCTTTCTCCCATCTGCTGGACCTCTGACTGCTGATTTTGGTGCTGAAACTCTTCCATTTTATTTCCGTAAATCCATCCACATCTGCACGTCTCAACTGCAATTCTCTCATCCGCCATGCGGCCAGCCGCGCCAGTGTCCCGCTCCCACGCGTCCCACCAGCTTATCTCTTCAACATGCAAGGATTGTTGGCGAGTGTCAAAACCAGTGCAGCCTGTGGTTGTCCCAGCAGACGTGCAGACTTGGTAGACACACTCACGCTAGTCCCGAATCCCGTGATCACCCATGATACACCCGTGATGCCCCTGCCATGCGCCCATCCAACGTGCGCCCATCCAACGTGCGCCCATCCAACGTGCGCCCATCCAACGTGCGCCCATCCAACGTGCGCCCATCCAACGTGCGCCCATCCAACGTGCGCCCATCCAACGTGCGCCCATCCAACGTGTGCCCAACCGCACCGTGCGCCCAACCGCGCCGTGCGCCCAACCGCGCCGTGCGCCCACCCGCGCCGTGCGCCCATCTGCGCCGTGCGCCCATCCGCGCTTGCGCCCATCCGCCCATTCCCACCGCGAGTGTTGCCCCCTCCACGCCCTTGTCTGTCTCAGCAGACGCGTGCAGCTGCAGCACACACTCTCCCCCGCTCGTGCACTCCCGTCCAAGCCCGCCACACGCCCGGACACACACCCGGCCACCGAACACGCGTCCACCACACCCCACAGTGCACCCACCCGCGCCCGTACCATTGTGGCTGTAAAACTGAAGTTGCCCCAGTAGCCCAGCAGACACGCAGACAAGCCAACGAGTTGCCAAGCAGACGCTGGAAACAAGAACCTGCAAGTGCAACGGGGCTGGCGCATGTCTCCCTGCAGCAGACGTGCCAATAGCAGACCATTCCGTCCGCGTTCCCCCGCACCAGCCGACCGCAAACCATCCCACCAGTCGCCATACGTCCACCAGAGCGACCTCATTCCACCTGCGCGCTAGCCCGCGCGCTCGCCACTGGAGCCCGCGGTAGTGCAGCAGACCAGACGCCACATGTCAACCACGTCCGCCCCGCACCAGACCATCCCACCGGTCGCCATGCGCCCACCGAGCGCAGAACCTCCCGTGCGCCCGCCACTGGAGCCCGCAGTAGTGCAACAAACCAGACACCAATCCGTGCGTCCTGCACATGCAGACAACAGCAGACCATCCCGTCCGCGTTCGCCCCGCACCAGCCGCCACCCACCAGTCGCCACTGCAGCCTGCGGTGTTGCAGCAGACCAAATGCCAAGACATGCAGCCATGCAGATGTGCAGACGCCACGCCATGCAGACGAGCATATGGCACTGCAACCCACACCCAGCGGGCCTCACTCTTCAAAAACCTGCAATGGGAAGGGGATTGGGTGGGTGTCTTCCGTTGCCGCCCGCGGTTGTCCCAGCAGACGTGCAGACAGCAGCCACTCGCCACTCGATCCCACACCCGTTCGCACTCGCCCGCGTTTCCAGTTCGCACAACTGCTTGTCGCTCGCACGCGTGCGTCCTCACAAATGCACGCGTTTCCATTACGGCAGCACGCTTGGTGCACCAATGCAGACAGCAGACACGCGCGTCCCTCACGCCGCTCGCCCTCCAGCAACCGTCAACTTTCGTCCCTACTTCCTTCTTACTTCTTACTTCCTTCTTACTTCCTTCTCACGACCTGCAAGGGAAGGGGATTGGGTGGTGGGTGTCTCCCGTTGCAGCCCGCGGTTGCAGACGTGCAGACAGCAGCCACTCGCCACTCCCTCCCACCGTGTTCGCGTCCGTCCAAATTTCCAGAAGTCGCTCGCCACCCGCACGCCCCCGCGCGTGCATCCTCACGCGTCTTCCCACGCGCCCCCGCGTTCGCATTCGCCCTATTCTCCATCCGCGCACCCGCTCATCTCGTTGTCCGTACACCCCTGCCTGCGCGTGCATCCTCGTGGGTCTTCCCATTGCAGCCGTGCAGACGGCAGGCAGACACACGCGCGCGTCCCTCTCTCACGTCGCTCGCCCTCCACCCTGCATCACCTCCACCAACCGCACTTCACACTGCCTTCGTACTTCCTTCTCACGACCTGCAAGGGAAAAGGGGTTCGGTGGGTGTCTCCCGCTGCCGCCTGCGGTTGTTCCAGCAGACGTGTAGAGAGCAGACACACACGCACAGCCCCCACCAGCCTTCCTGCTCACGTTCCGCTCGCTCGCGCCCCATGCTCTGAACCTCCGTGCGTCTTCCCATCAGCGCCCGCGGTTGTCCCAGCAGACGTGCAGACGGCAGACGCGCGCCACTCGTTCGTTCCTTGTGCCCGTGTGTCTTTTTGAAGCCGTCTCTGTGTGTTTTTTCATCCTGCAAGACAAGGGATGGTTCGTTGGTGCCTCCGATGCAGCCTGCGCTGGTCCCAGCAGACGTGCAGACACGCGTCATTCGTTCCCGCCTCACTCGCTTGTCACTCGTGCCAATATCTCTTCAAAAGCGCCTCCGAATGTCCTTAACCTGCAAACGGGGAAATTGGTGGGTGTCTCTAGAAGCAGGCCTGTGGTTGTCCCAGCAGACGTGCAGACAGCAGACACACACGCGTGTTCATCACCCTGGCCTCGCCCCCTTCAATTGTCCCTGCACGCATCTTCCAATCAGCGCCCGTGGTTCTCCCAGCAGACGTGCAGACGGCAGACGCGCGCCACTTAATACCGTTCCTTGCTCCACTCGTTCGCCTCTCATGCATGTGTATTTCCCATCTGTGTGTTTGGTCGCGGAGTGTCTCTCGTTGCAGCCAGCAGACGCGCCATTCCTCGCCACTCACTCGCTTCACTTTAGACCTGCAAAAGGGGGGGATTGGTGGGTGTCTTCCGTTGCAGCCTGCAGTTGTCCCAGCAGATGTGCAGACAGCAGACACACACGTGCGCGCTCCCTTTACCCGCCCGCGTCTTCTGGTTGTCCTACTCGCTCGTTTCCCTTCTTCATGTTCACTCGCGTCTTCCCATCAGCACCTGCGGTTGTCCCAGCAGACGTGCAGACAGCAGATGCGCAACACCCGCTACGACCGACCCTCGCCCCACGCGCGTTCACGCCTCAAGCCCGCACTCCTGTGTCTTCCTATCAGCACCCACGCTTGTTCAACGGACGTCCAGACAGCAGACACAACCACCGACTCCCATCCAACGAGTTTGCTTCTTTGCTTCTCAACCTGCAAGGGGGATGGCGAGTGTCTCCCGTCACCGCCTGCGGTTGTCCCAGCAGACGAGCAGCCAGCAGACACACACAACTTGTCACGGCCGTCGCCTGCGCGTTCACCCCTCGAGCCCACACCCGCGCCCTCGTGTCTTCCCATCAGCACCCGCGGCTGTTCAACGGACGTGCAGACAGCAGGCACGCAGCCTCACATCCAACGCGTTTGCTTCTCGACCTGCACGGAAAAAGGGTTGGCGAGTGTCTCCTGTCGCCGCCTGCGGTTGTTCCAACAGACGTGCAGCCAGCAGACGCGCCAATCAATACCGTTCCTCGCCCCACCCTCGTTGGTCACTCGTGCTCGCTCGGCCCGTGCACCTTCTCAAATGCCCCTCTGGTGGTGCTTCAAGATCCTGCAACAAAGAAGGGGGTGTGGTTCTCCTGCAGCCTGTGGTTATCCCAGCAGACGTGCAGCCAGCAGACACGCGCCACTCGATCCCGCTCGCGTTCGCCCACACCCGTTCTTCTCTCCCTCGCGTTCGCCTGGAAACGTTTTAGCACAGCCGCCACAGAGCCACCGGTTTTAACCTGCAAACACAAGCGCATCCCGTGCGTCTTCCCGTCTCAGCCGGTGGTTCTTCACTCGGCCGTGCAGACAGCAGACACATGGCGTCCATTCGTTGTGTGTGTTCAAGCCCCGATCAGCACCCCGCCCTTTGCGCCTCAACGGTCGCTCGCCCACAGTGCTTCCTAGACCCGCCACACCCGGTCGACTTGCACGCGTTCGTTTCAGCAGAAGCAGCTGCCCCAACGAATACGCCGACAGCAAAAAGTTTGTCTCAGCAGTGCAGGCTACCCTCTCCCCAGCACGCTCTCTCCCTGCCCTGGACGCACAGAAAAGCAGCACACACAGCAACAGCAATACCAAGCAACAACCACCTCCCTATCCCATTAACAGCTACAGTTCGCGAGGAAATATGCACGAGGACTAGAACGTTGCAGCAACTATAATCTGATCTATGCGCAACAAACACTTCAAACACACCAGCTTCGGTTGGGCGGACTCTACGCGTAATTACAGGCGATGATGACCAATGGCAAACAACACGAACAGCAGGATGAACGCAACGATGCAGACACGAGGACGCGGTGGTAGACGCGTAGATGGAAGCAGAGGAGTGGACGAGTAGACAGTGGACGGCAGAGCAGAAGCAGAGACGTGCAGACAGCAGGCGGAGAGACGCAGGAGTTCAGCAGGAGCAGCAGACAGCAGCGCGAGGAGAGGCACAAAGCAGGCGCAGGTAGAGATGGCGCAGGGGGGGCGCGGAAGGGAAGCGCGGCAGAGAGGCGCGGCAGAGCTCGCAGCCTGGACGGGGGACGGGGGGAATATGGCTGGCGGGGCGAGAGACGCGGAGAGAACACAGGTTATGGGGCCAGGGGGGCCCGGGGGAGGGGGGGGGCGGGGAGGGAGCGGAGGGGAGGGAACGGAGGGGAGTGCAAACCAGGAGAGAGCCAACAAGGCAAGAGAGGCCAGAAGCACGGACGTCTAGAGCACTGCATGATGGTCAAAGGAGGCAGCAGCGAAGAATCAAAGAACTAGAGAGTCACACTGCATTAGAACACAAGAGTCACACTGCATTGGGAACCTGACGAGTGCCAAAACGCGGCTGAACGGGAAGGGACGCCAAAGGGAGAGATGAGGGAACGCGGCCTGTGGGGACGAGAGCGGTGTGGCTTGGAGAGGAAGGGAAACAGACACAGGTTATGGGGCCAGGGGGCCCAGGGGAGGGGGAACGGGGGGAGAGAGGGGAGGGGAGGAGAGGAGGGAGGAACGCCAACAGGGAGGCCAGGAGAACTCGAAGCTACAAGACAGCCAAAGAGCACCGACGTCTGACACACTGAACGATGGACGGAGGGAGCTGCGATGGTCAAAAGGTGTACTGAAGAGCACAGGAGACCTAATGAGGAGCACGGAACACCTGACCGGCTGGAACCAAGCACCCGACACATCCGAGGACGGTTAGACGACCAACGAGAGGCCGTAGAACGCACCCTGTGGGAACTACGCGGTGTGGCCACAGAAGGGAGGAAGGAGACAGAAGGTTACAGGGCCAGGGGGCCCCAGGGAGGGGAGGGGGAACGCCAACCAGCACTCGTGTAACGCATGGAACGGACTAGGGTCGAGGTCACAGCTTGAACAGACTGATATAGACTGGGCGCGGCACGTTGTGAATAGGAGAGACTGATAGTCCAGGTGCGGAACGAGTGTGGCGAACATGGTTCAATCACCTATCATTATAATCTGGCGCATCTGCAGCTGACGCGTGGTTACAACCGAAACGGTCAGAGGATCTACGACAGGCGGCAGTAGGCGGCCTGTGGGGACGAACGCAGTGTGGCTAGAGGGAGGAAGGAAGGAGACAAGGTTACGGGGCCAGGGGGCCCCAGGGGGGAGGGAGGGGAAGGGGAACGCCAACCAGGAAAAGTGCACGCACAACAGAATGCGACTGACTAGAGCTGTAACGGATGGAGCTATACTGGACGCAGCAGGGTTAGGAGAGAACTGCGTTTGAAATATACAGTTCAGCGAGGCTGAATCATTCAGTCACCGAGAGCTTGACGCATCTGTGGCTATGCTTGAACCCGAAGGACCCGAAACACCTCGACAGTTAGACGATCGACGATAAGCGGAAAACGAGCCCTGTGGGAATGACGCAGCGTGGCTAGACGAGGAAGGAAAGAGACACAGGTTACGGGGCCAGGGGGCCCCGGGGGGGAGGGAAGGACAGGGAAACGCCAACCAGAAAAAGCGCACGTGTAACGGAATGGAACCGAAGCTACAGCTGAAATGGATGGAGCTAGACGCAGCGGGATATGTAGAGGAACGGCATATTTCAGGTATAAAACTTCGAGTTCGTTCAGTCACCGATTGCTTGGCGCCTCTGCGGCTGTGCTCGAAACCGAAAAAAACCCGAAACGCCTAGACGTTCGACCTCAGGTGCCGGAGCAGGCTGTTAGGATGCACGCAGTGTGGCTACACGAGGGAGGAAAGAGACACAGGTTACGGGACCAGGGGGCCCCGGGAAGAGGGGGGGGGAGGGAAAAGGAACGCCAACCAAGAAAAGCGCACGTGTAACGGAATGCAACCGAAACTATGGCTGAAAGGGAAGGAACTACACTGAGGCAGCGGGGTATGAAGAAAAAAAGCAGGCTTCGGCATTTCAGATTGAATAATCGTTCTGTCACCGATTGCTTGACGCATCTGCGGCTGTGCTTGAAACCGAAAGTCCCGAAACACCTAGACGTTAGACGTTCGACCTCACGTGCCAGGGCGCAGCCTGTAGGGACGAACGCAGTGCGGCTACACGAGGAAGGAAGAGGACACAGGTTACAGGGCGAGGGGGCCCCAGGGGAGGGGGGGGGACAGAGACAGGGGAACGCCAACCAGGAAAAGCGCGCATGTAACGGAATGCGATCGAGGCTACAGCTGAAACGGATGGAGCTACATTGGCGCAGCAGGGTATGGAGAAATGAAAGGCTCGGGTTTTTCAGGCAGAGGAATCGTTCAGTCACCGAATGCTTGACGCATCTGCGGCTGCGCTTGAAACCAAAAGACCCGGAACACCTAAACGGTAAATCGTTCGACCTCACGTGCCAGAGCGCAGCCTATGGGAAGAGTGACGCAGCAGGGTAAGGAGAGGAAAGGCTTGTATAACTTCCGTGGAAACGCTCAAGGCATTCAGTCACCGATTGCTTGGCGAGTCTACGGCTGCCACGTGCTTCATACCGAAAGACCCAAAACACCTCGAAGGTTAGACGATCGACCACAGGTGCCAAAGCACAGCCTGTGTGGGTGAACGCAGTGTGGCTACACGAGGGAGGAAGGAGAGAGACACAGGTTACAGGGCCAGGGTGCCCCAGAGGAGGGGGGGGGGGGGTGAAGGGGGGGGGGGGGGGGGGGGGGGGGGGGGGGGGTTGCAGAGACGGGAACGCCAACCAGAAAAAGCGCGCATGTAACAGAATGCGACCGAGGCTACAGCTGAAACGGATGGAGTTACAGCAACGCAGCAGGGTAAGGAGAGGAAAGGCTTGTAATCTTCCGTAAAAAGGCTCAATCACTCAAGCAAGTCACCAATTGCTAGGCGAATCTGCGGCTGCCATGTGCTTGACACCGAAAGATCCAAACCACCTAGACCGTACCGATCGACCACAGGTGCCAGCGCACAGCCTGTGGGGATGAACGCAGTGTGGCTACACGAGGGAGGAAGGAGAAATGCACAGGTTATGGGGCCAGGGGGGCCCCAGGGGGGAGGGGACGGGAACGGGAACGCCAACCAGGGAGAACGCACGTGTAACGCAACGAGGGAATCGAGACCGCGGCTACAGCCTAGACGGGAGGAGCTATGTTGGACGCATCAGGGCAAGGAAAGAACACGGCTTTCTTTAAAAACTGCAAGTTCAGAAGCTATATCACTCCATCACCGACTGCTTGGAGAATCTGCAGCAGACACGTGCTTGCGAGCGACACACTGAACATGAATCCTCTGCTGTGCTGCTGGCAGGGCAATCACAGCAAACAAGGGACTGCGGAGGAGAGAAAAGCACCTTAGACCCCAGAGCCCCCAACGGGGATGGGGGAAGGGGGAAAAGGGGAAGGGAGGGAGATACACAAGGAGACACGCCTACGCCAAAGCGAGGCACGCGAAGCTGAACGAGACGTAAGGTAAGAAAAGGCTGAACGAACACAACGATGGTGTCTACAATCGACCACACCGTTCGGCGTCCGCAGAGCGCAGTCCGAACTCGAGCGGAGGCGGGCGATTGGGCGAAACGAACTGGTCGCAGGCACCCTGGTGTGCTGCCGGCAGGGACCCGACGGAACGGAGGGGCGAAGAAAGGGAAACTCAAACCCCAGAGCCCCAGAAGGGGATGGGGAAGGGAGGGGCACGAGGCAAGAAAGCCTAACATCTAACGCGGCAACGAACGACAGTGTAATCCGATGGTCAGTCCATTAACGAAACGTGGAATCCACAAAAGTAAACGGCAGAACAGGGCTCGGACTACCCGATCGTTCCATTAGCACATTGTGGTGCCATGCTTCCCCCCAGTCCAGACACCTGTCCGCATGTCTGCTGGCATGACAAGAACTACGGGAACAAAGGAGGAAAGGTGAAACCCCAGAGCCCCATAAGGGGATGGGGACGAAAGGGATGCAAGACAGCAGGTCCGACACCTACGAGCAGCGACGGAAAAATTAGAGATAGTAACACGGTGAAGGCCGACCAACTGAAAAGTTGAAACTGCGATGATTCGTAGCACTAGCTACCCAATAGTTCCACAAATTGCTGGCTGAATTCCGAAGAAGACGACACCAGCCAGGACGAACGCAGGTGAAGTACTCTAGCCATGACCGTTGAAGGAACTCTCGAAAGTACTGAATTAACCGGGTGGAATGACGCGAGTTAACGCCGAGGCCGTGAGTACTGTTAGTGGGGCAACCGCACCCAAGCACCAAGAAAAGAAAAGAAAAAAAAAAGTGAAAGCCCCAGAGCCCCCTCGGGGGGATAGGGTGGGAGGGAGAAGCACCCAGGCCGGAACCGACTGGTAACCATGGTAGGAACACCACCTGTTAGCGAAGTGCGTGGAAACAAAAAAAAAACACCGCACCACGCCTTCCCTTCGCCTGTTTCACGAGACCTGCGGGTGCAGAACGCGTATCCAAGCATAGGCGAACGAACTGCCACAACATTTCTAACCATCCGCTCTAATCCCAGCGAGCACAAGCAAAACCATAACCAGCGACAACCTGCGCGAGAGGAAACATGTCATCGCTATACGTTATCATATTATATACATATACATCGACGTACATCACAAGGTTAACTGACGCTCCACAAGCGATTACTCTATATAAACAAAATATCAACACAAGTTAGATAAGCGCAACGTACGGCCCACAGGCACTTAGCACGGAACCTTCGCTCTTCACGACGCTCAAGACGGAATCACGACTGAGAGTCGACTCTTCGACGGCAACACCCAAAGTGCTCAACTCGCTTTATAGAATCGTTATCACGCTTCAATAGCTCAACGTGGCGAAACATCTGGGACATAGCGACCCTAGGGCGAACTGGTGACGAGCCCTTCGTATCTTAAGCGTCGAAAGGCCAAACCGAATTCGACTAGGCATTTGTAACCAGCTGACTTCGAAGAAGAAGCCTCAAAAGGGATGGGAACTGACGCGACGTCAAATTCACAAATCAACTTCGACAGTAAACTCAACCTAAAGAATAGGACGACCGAACGGTCCAACCAGTACTGAAACGACAGAACTCGGGAGAAAGAAACTCAGACGCCATCAACAAATCACGGACACCTAACCAAGAGATCATCACGGCGCATTTCTCACAGCCAGATGGACCCAAGGTAGCGCGTCACGAGACGTCCCTCCCAAGCCACGGAACTACGGAGAAGAAAAATCAAGAAACCGAAACTGTGCAGGAAGAAATGAAGCTGCAAGAAAGGGATGTAGGTGAATGAAACCCCAAGAAAGGGATGGAAGGGAAGGAGGATGGATGGGATGGGAGGGTGAATAATTTCGGGACTTCCCTGCGACATTGCTTAGCGACACCGGCGACCCGAAATCACGGTTCTTGCTTCCAGACCACGGAAGCCTTATCTCGAGCCTTCGGTGATGGAAACAGCCACCATCGATTGGTCAGAATAGAACCGGCAGATGCACAGCTGGCCTCGGACCCCGCTGCTCTGGGAATGGGACAACCCGTCGCGACGCGGCCCAAGCGAAGCTTACCAAGCGCTGGAATCGCCGAGCCAGTCCCATCAAGCGAAACGCGTTGAGCGGTGCAGAAACAGACTGGCACCGCCAACCTGACAAACTTGGTGCGACAAGGAACTATGTCGCAGGTTCGCGAATTCTCGTGTAGGTGATGGAAATGGAAAACGCGTTGAGCGCCCAGCGGGTACCATGCAGCACCATCACCATCATACATGCACAGCTCATGTTGATGGTGACACCATCTTTCCCATATGTGCTGATACTGTAGATGCGCATGAAAACTTTACCTGGAAACGAATGCGGATGGGATGTGATGGCAGCAGAGCAGAGTTGGGACATATGGTGAGTCAGCAGCGTGATATTTTGCGTGGCTACTTCCCGGTTGACTCACTTCACCAGCTGTTCACGTGCTCCCTACACTCTCTCGATTTACAATGCTCCAGGTTCTGATCAAGATGAGGTGCGTAATGAATCATATAAACTGCAAATTGTGGAGTTTTGCATATGCTAGATTGAAGTGGGTATTGTCTCCCACCTCCCCCCCATCCCCCACCTCCTCCCACACGCAACCGGGTGCTGCGTTATCACTGCCATGATCCGGGCAACCGATGACTCTGTTTTGACTTAAAACTCAGTCTAACGAACGGCCGCGCACTGTAGAGCGATGACGAACCTTGATAACGGTTCAATGTCGTTCGCTTGGGACGATTATGGTATTTTATATGATATAATGATGTCTCATGCTGGTGAAATTCGTGCATTGTTAACATTGTACGTATATTTTTGGTGTTTGATATGTGATGTGTACTCTTGCCTTTCTTTTCCTAAAAAGAGTAATGATAAGGAGCACATTTGATGTTTCTCGTACTCGGAATGAATATATATATATATATATATATCGAGATTCGAGCTTCAAAGGGGTTGCTGGAGATTCATCCAGCAGAGGCTTGTGTGCCAGGTCACAATCTTTTCTTCATCGTCAGCATTCCGGATATTTGGGAAGTTGGCCGTAGTGGCACAACATTCGAATTTGCCTGTATAGTCGAAAAAAAACATCATCATGTCTCTGGTGGGTCTTTAATTACAAGTAAAACCTTACTGCATAAACCTTTTGTTCGAGTCGAGCAACTTCCATGGCAGCGAAGTAAGTTTTTGCTCCAGCAAATATGTGGTCCCAAAGATGAGCAAAATCTGCAATTGCCAACGCAGTAATGACGTCAGTCTGGCTGACTTTCTGTCAACCAGCTTCAAGGCGCTTCAATCCGCAAAACCAATCACCAACGACTGACTGCAGCTGGTAACCGTCAGTAACTTCGCATGCCAATCGTTGGATGCAATTCGTTCTTCTGGCACTGACAAGCCAGCTTTCCAAGTCTCCACCTCCATTCCATGACGCAGCTCCCTGTGACAATCGCAAATTCCAGTTTGCTTTTCAGGTCCTGGCGTGACGGCTCGTGCTGCGTGCCGTTCATCACATCGTTGCCTTGCAGCCGTCCCGCTCCGCTCAACTTATTTACTACACATTCGCTTCTCGTTGCTTCTCGCTCCGACTCCCTCGTCCGCTTTCTACCGCGTTCAACGGTAGTTTTCAGCACCGTCCCCCGTTATCCACAAATTCGCGCTTCATCTTCCGATTTGCAAGAACCAGCTCACGCCATCCTATTTATTACCGCTACCACCCAGTATCGCGCAAGCAGCTCATATCGCCGTTATTTTATGAGTTGACGTAACATCGCATTACATTTCCGTATCGCCAGTTCCTGTTGGCGCTTCGAATTCTGGCGAGCTTTCGTAGTCGGAGCCCCTGCATTGTCACCAGAAGCACCTCGCTGCCTCTCCTCATCCTTCGTTAGGCTTCACGACCATTCGTTACCGTTCGAGATAGCATTTCGTCATGGCGAGTGCCGCTTTGATCCGGACAGCCGTCAGAAGGACTCGAGATATGATGCGGTGTGGGCCAGCAACCGCATTGTTGAATGCCTATCAAGACAATCTTGGCCGTTCATCGCGGTGCTTTCACCATGGCCGCGCTGTCATTGTGAATAAACGGGGAGCCGACCTCCTTCACGACCCGTGGTTCAACAAAGTAAGTCATTCTTAGCCAGACTCACAAAGTAAGCCATTTCTAACCAGACCTAATAAAGAAGCACGGAGAGAGTTTCAAAGAAATCCAACGCCTGAACATTTTGATGCCTCGCTTCTCAGTGGGCTGAAAACTTGTCTCCTACAACATCTCTGGGTCAACATTGTTAGTACCGAATATGTCAGAACACAGTAATATACACCCGAAACCCGTCTCGCGGTTCGTATGGTGTTGCTCTCGTCGTTCGCTGCTCCGACGCGTAGCAGTACACTACCATCCATCGTCTCTCGTGAGAGAAAGCATTCGTAACTGATCATATTTCCCACTCTTTGCCCTCCCTCGTCTCCCCGCAGCACACGGCATTCGAGGCGCCAGAGCGTGATCGCTTGGGGCTGAGAGGCCTTCTTCCGCCGGGTTACCAGACCATGGAGGAGCAAATGCAGCAGTTCAGTAAGTACACCCTCGTACGCGTTATAGAGTGACTTTTGAAGCGCTTCAAATGAGGGCCCTTCTTCCGCCGGGTTACCAGACCATGGAGGAGCAAATGCAGCAGTTCAGTAAGTACACCCTCGTACGCGTTATAGAGTGACTTTTGAGGCCCTTCAAATGAGGGACCTTCTCCCACCGGGTTACCAGATTATGGAGGAACAAATGCAGTAGTTCAGCGAGTACACCCTCGTACGTATAGGATGCTTTGAAGCACCATTCTTTCCACGGTGTTGAGCATAAAGGATCTGCTCACACCACCTCGCTGCACCGCAATCATAGAATGAACCTACAGTCACTTCTCGACCTTGTCTACGTTCCCTTCCACTTCCATTCCTTTCCACTCTCCCCCTCTCCCCTCTTCAGTGCGGCAGTACGAGGCGATTGAACGCAAGCCCAGGTCGTCTGACGACCCTGTGGACCTGCAGAAGTGGCGCATCCTGAACCGCCTGCACGACCGCAACGAGACTCTGTATTACCGGGTGAGAGAAGAGATCCCCATGCCCTTGTGGTGGTGGACGAGTAGTGCGGAGGGTGTGTGGTGGGACCTCTGCCCCACCAGCATGCCGGACGACCCCGTGGACCTGAGTGGCGCATCCTCAACCGCCTGCACGACCGCAACGAGACTCTCTACTACAGGGTAAGAGCGAGAGGATTTGTCGCGCATAGGCTACACGCCCACTGTGGGCATGGTGTGCCAGCAGCTCGTATCTTTCCTCCCATCATACTCCCTGCCACGCTGTTCCATGTCATTCATACTCCCCCTCCTCCCCCTTCTCCCCCCCTCTCCCCCCCTTCTCGCCCACATCAGATCCTGATGGACAACATAGAGGAGATGTCGCGCATCGTGTACACGCCCACGGTGGGCATGGTGTGCCAGCGCTATGCCTCCCTCTTCCGCCGCCCCCGGGGCATGTACTTCAGCGCCAATGACCAGGGCGAGATGGCCTCCATGGTGCACAACTGGCCTTCTGACCATGTGAGTGCGCCCGTGTGCATACGATTGCGGCAAAGGACCATGTATGTAGGCGAATGAATGTACTGTAGGAACAGGTACATACAGTGCCACCCGCGAGGCATGTGCTTCAGTGCCAACGACCAGGGCGAGATGGCATTGATGGTGCACAACTGGCCCTCGGATCACGTAAGTGCACACACGGCGTGTTACGGATATTCATACAATACATATGTTAATCATCACTGTACGCGCATGCATAGTGCCACCCGCGAGGCATGTACTTCAGAGCCAATGAACGACCAGGGAGAGATGGCCTCCATGGTGCACAACTGGCGATGTGAGCAGAGATGGTGTGCTTGATCTGAAACAATGCTGAAAGATGTAGATGAATTTCACTGTAGGAACAGGACCAGTGGCACCACTCTCACCAACTCACCCCTACCTGCTCTCCTCTACCCACTCTCGCAGGTGGATATCATAGTGATCACGGATGGCTGCAGGTTGCTGGGAGTGGGTGACTGCGGTGTGCATGAGCTCGCTGCTATTCCCGCACCTAACCACCCTCCCCCAGTGACTCTTCCCCCAGTCATTCTCCCAGGTGGACATCATAGTGATCACGGATGGCAGCAGGGTGCTGGGAGTGGGTGACTGTGACGTGCAGGGAGCTTGTCGCACCGCCACACTCCTGCTCTCCCCTACCCACCCCTTACCCATTCTCTTCTACCCGCCCTCACTCTTTCAGGTGGACATCATAGTGATCACGGATGGCAGCAGGGTGCTGGGAGTGGGTGACTGTGACGTGCAGGGAGCTTGTCGCACCGCCACACTCCTGCTCTCCCCTACCCACCCCTTACCCATTCTCTTCTACCCGCCCTCACTCTTTCAGGTGGACATCATAGTGATCACGGATGGCAGCAGGGTACTGGGCGTGGGGGACTGCGGCGTGCAGGCCGTGTCAGCGCCGGTGGGGAAGCTGGACGTGTACGTGGCTGCTGCTGGCATCAACCCCAACCGGGTGAGTGGAGGGGGAGACATGGAGGGACGAGCAGAGGAAAAGAGACCAGGGAAGGGGGGCGACCAGAGGAGAGAGTGACGGTTTGGAAGCGTGGGAGCGAGAATATGAGCTGAATTCAGTACATGTGGGGATGCTGGACGTGTACGTGGCTGCTGCTGGCATCAACCCCAACCGGGTGAGTGGGAGAGACAAAGAAAGGGAGGGACGAGCAGAGGATATGGGGACGATTAGAAGAAGAAATGGCTGAGGAGGGGGACGAGCAGAGGAAATGGCTTGTGATGGTTCCACTTTTTGTTGATTCAGATGGCCATTATGAGAGAAACATGGCCGATGGGCTATCTACAGACTGTTTGTTTCATCTCCCCCATTGTTGTCCTTCTCCTCCCACCCTCCGCCCCCAGGTGCTGCCTGTAGTCTTCGATGTGGGCACCAACAACAGCGAGCTCATGAAGGACCCACTCTGTGGTGATAACATGACCATTCTTTCCTCCTTTTCTTCCTTCCTTCTCGCCTCACCCACCCACTGCCCCCAGGTTCTGCCTGTAGTCTTCGATGTGGGCACCAACAACAGCGAGCTCATGAAGGACCCACTCTGTACGCCCTCATACCCCTTGATGTACCCATCGCACCCCTCAGAATCCTCCTCCACTTCATTACTTGTGAGTCAACTTCAAATTCCCCTCCCCCCTCCTTCGCATCACCTTTCTCCCCTCCCCCGTGTTGCCCTCCTCCTCTCAACCCCCTTGTCCCCCGTTTTCCTCCTCTCCTCCTGTCCCCCCCTCATCCCCCCTCATCCCCGTTGCCTTCACCTGAATGTCCCCCTTGTGACCCCCCTTGTTACACCCTCCCCCTCACTGGCGTGCAGACCTGGGCCTGCGCCATCCGCGCATAGACGGGGAGGACTATCTGGAGCTCATAGACGAGTTCATGGAGGCCGTCACCGCCCGCTGGCCCAATGTCATCGTTCAGGTGCGTCATTGTTCGGTGCGTGCGGTTACCAGCCAGACAGTGCTGGTGCCAGGCGTGTGTTGAGGCGCCTCAATAGGCAGACGGCGAGGGCGGGGAGGGAAGGTGCCTCCATCCGCGCATAGACGGCAAGGACTACCTGGAGCTCATAGACGAGTTCATGGAGGCTGTTACCGCCCGCTGGCCAAACGTTATTGTCCAGGTGCGTGCGGTTACCAGGATGTGCTGGTGCCAAGCAGTGCAGGTGCAAGGCGTGTGGTGAGGTGAGGCACCTCAATAGACGGAGAGGTCTATCTGGAGCTCAATAGACGAGTTCGTTCATGCAGGCCGTTACCGCCCGCTGGCCCAACGTTATCGTCACCAGTACCGCGTCTCATTCACACCTGCCCTCTGCCTCTGCCCCTGCTTCCATCCACCCAACCATCTGTGCCTCATTCCCATGCGCCCCGCCTAAAACGCCATGCCAGCTTGAGGACATGGAGCGCAAGTGGGTGCGTATATTGTTGGATATTGATGGACCGCTACAGGCACCAGTACCGCCTTTCACACCTCTGCCCTGCTTCCATCCACCCAACCGTCTGTGTCCCATACCCATTCACAGGCGCCCACATCGCCATGCCAGTTTGAGGACATGGAGGGCAAGTGGGTGTACGTGCTCATGGACCGGTAGGATGCAGTACCGCACAGCTCATCACCACCACTGACCCTCTGCCACTGCCCCCCTCTATCTCCGCCCCTCCACCCCCAGTTCGAGGACATGGAGCGCAAGTGGGCGCATGTGCTCATGGACCGCTACAGGCACCAGTACCGCACGTTCAACGACGACATCCAGGGCACGGGTAGAGGCTGGCTGTTGGTGTCAGTGCAGTGTGCTTCCCTATCCATCTCTCTGCCACTCCACCTAACCCACTACCCATCCAGTTCGAGGACATGGAGCGCAAGTGGGCGCACGTGCTCATGGACCGCTACAGGCACCAGTATCGCACGTTCAATGACGACATCCAGGGCACGGGGGGGCTGGCTGTGGCGGCGGTGACCAACGTGCTGAGGGCGCAGGAGCTGCCTCCTAGTGAACTGGCGAATTGCAAAATGGTTGTGACCGGTGCAGGCAGGTGTGTGTGGGTTGGGAGGGGCACAAAGAGAATTTGTTCTTCTCAAAAGAAAAACAGTGGGGGCTGGCTGTGGCGGCGGTGACCAACGTGCTGAGGGCGCAGGAGCTGCCTCCCAGTGAATTGGCGAACTGCAAAATGGTTGTGACCGGTGCAGGCAGGTGCGTGCAGCTTGGGAGGGGCTGAAGGGGTGCGTCTGCTCTTTTGGACACAACAACAACAGCAAAAGTGGGGCCCGGCTGTGGCTACGGTGACCAGCGTGCTGAGGGCGCAGGAGCTGCCTCCCGATGAACTGGCCAACTGCAGAATGGTTGTCACTGACGCTGGCAGGTGCGTGTGGGTCAGGCTGGTGCATGTGGGTTGGGAGGGGCAGAAAGGGGAGAGCACGTAGCTCTGGGCACTCCCGGCGAGCTGTCCAACTGCAGAATGGTTGTCACGGGCGCTGGCAGGTGCGTGTGGCTTGGGTTGGGAGACAGGCAGGCAGGTGAGCGTGTGGCTCTGAGCACAACAACAGTGGGCTGAATATATAGGTTTTTTTTCACGAATGCTCACAATTGATGTTGTTGTTTGTTGTTTTTCTTTTTGTTGCTGTTTCCACATTACTCCCTACCATGTACTGTGGTGCAGGGTATGCTGGTAGTGCTACAGATGGTGATGGTATCACAAGGTGACTTTTGAGTCGACTCAAAATCCATGCTGGTAGTGCTACAGATGGTGATACTGTCACATGTGATGTGGTATTTGACATGTGAAATCAACTACCGTTTCTGTCTCTTCCCACGGTGCAGTGCGGTGCAGGGCATGCTGACAGCACTTCAAAAGGCGATGGTGGCGCATTTGGGAGAGAGCAAGCACAGCTACATGCTGGCTGCTCGCAACTTCTGGATCGTGGATAACAAGGTGCGTGGGAGTGAGATGCGGTGGAATGCGGTGACAAGAGGTGGTAAGAGGTGACGTTGGGGGCAGGAAGGTGATAAGAGAGCACATGTATATGGCAGCATCTGGGAGAGAGCAAGCACAGCTACGTGCAGGCTGCTCGCAACTTCTGGATCGTGGATAACAAGGTGTGTGAGAGTGATGTGCGGTGGAATGCGGTGACATGAGGTGGTAAGATGTGGTAAGAGGTGGCGAAGGGTAAAATCGGGGATATGAGGTGATAAGAGGGCACATGTATGACAGCATATGGGGGAAGCCAGAGGCGTGGCACCCAACCAACCGAGAACCGTTGTTCCCCACTCCCCTGTTCGTCCCCTCCCCTGTTGCATCCCCCCCTCCCCCCCATCACTCTTCCGCACCATATTTCCCCCTCATCCAATCTTTACCCCCCTTCCCCTCAGGGCCTCATGACCGAAGCCAGGGGCGCAGTACCCAACCTGCTGCGGCCCTTTCTGCGGCCGGCAGCAGAGGGAGGGGGGAGGGGGGGGGGAAGGGGGGGCTGCAGGAGGGGGCGCTGGTCTGTCAGGGAAGCACCTCATTCTCCCACTTCCCCCCCTTCTCCCCTCTTCGCCCCCTTCTCTTCTCTCAGGGCATGATGACGGAAGCCAGGGGCGCAGTACCCAACCAGCTGCGGCCCTTCCTGAGGCCGGCAGCAGAGGCGTGGGAGGAGGGGGGACTGCAGGAGGGCGCCCATTTAGCCGCGGTGATCAAGGCAGTGCAGCCGCACGTGCTGTTTGGGCTGTCGGGCAAGCACCACCTGTTCCATCTCTCTCCCAGCCCCAACCCAGGGCCTCATGACTGAAGCGCGGGGCGCCGTACCAAACCAGCTGAGGAACGTTGTTCTTTCGTTTCCTTCTCCTCTCTCCCCCTCTCAGGGCCTCATGACCGAAGCCAGGGGCGCAGTACCCAACCAGCTGCGGCCCTTGCTGCGGCCGGCAGCAGAAGCACGGGAGGAGGGCGGGCTGCAGGAGGGGGCTTTGGGGTGTCAGGAAAGCACCAGACTTCCCCACACTCCCCTGCACTCCCCTCTTTCCCCCCCTCAGGGCCTCATGACTGAAGCGCGGGGAGCCGTACCCAACCAGCTGCGGCCCTTCCTGAGGCCGGCAGCAGAAGCGCGGGAGGAGGGCGGGCTGCAGGAGGGGGCGCACCTGGCAGCGGTGATCAAGGCGGTGCAGCCGCACGTGCTGTTTGGGCTGTCGGGCAAGCACCACCTGTTTGACAAGGATGTGCTGCGAGCTGTGAAGAACAGTGGCGTGCCCCGCCCTGCCATCCTGCCCCTCTCCTGCCCTGCCAACCACTGTGAGTTGCCCTTGAGTTGTTTTGGTTGCCAGTCATGGTAATGCACGGCTGTGCTGTTTGGGCTGTCGGGCAAGCACCATCTGTTTGACAAGGATGTGCTGCGAGCTGTGAAGAACAGTGGAGTGCCGCGGCCTGCTATCCTGCCGCTCTCCTGTCCTGCCAACCACTGTGAGTTGTTCTCAAACCAACCCTTTTGACCTGTAAGCCCAGTCACGGTAATGCACGGCTGTGCTGTTTGGGCTGTCGGGCAAGCACCATCTATTTGACAAGGACGACCTGAGGGCTGTCGAGAACACTCATCTCCCTGTGAGTGCAAAACGGTGCTGTGCGGTGGGAAATGGTTGGCCAAGCACCATCTGTTTGACAAGGACGTCCTGAGAGCTGTGAAGAACAGTGGAGTGCCCCGCCCCGCCATCCTGCCGCTCTCCTGTCCTGCCAACCACTGTGAGTTCCTTTGGTTGCCAGTCAGTCACGGTGATGCACGGCTGTGCTCTGTGGGCTATCGGGGAAGCACCATCTGTTTGACAAGGAACGTGCTGCGAGCTGTCACGAACACTCATCTCCCTGTGAGTTCAAAACGGTGCTGTGCGGTGGGAAATGGTTGGCCAAGCACCACCTGTTTGACAAGGACGTGCTGCGTGCTGTCAAGAACTCTGGCGTGCCCCGTCCTGCCATCCTGCCCCTCTCCTTTCCTGCCAACCACTGTGAGTTCCTTGGTTGCCAGTCAGTCACAGTGATGCACAGCTGTGCTGTTTGGGCTGTCGGGCAAGCACCACCTGTTTGACAAGGGCGTGCTGCGGCCTGCTATCCGGCCTCTCTCCTGCCCTGCCAGCCACTGTGAGTTGTTCAAGGGCCTTAGGAACCGTGTCAGAAGGTGATACTTCTTGAGACTCCTGCCTTTGCCCTGTCTTGCCAGCCACAGTGCGTTGCAGCAGGCACTGTAAGCGCTTGAAGCTGTAGGTCTCACAACGCCCTCCAACACCCTCCCTCTTTCTTTCAGAGTAAAGAAGGATTCGAACCGCAGCAAGCCGTGCGGTCCTCTCAATATTACAACTCTCTGTCCCTCTCCTCCATTTCCTCCCCTAACCAGCGGAGTGCACGGCACAGCAGGCGTTTGAAGCAGTGGGTCCCAACGCCCTCTTCCTCTCCGGAGTCAGCTACCCCTCAGTGCGCTTCCGTAAGTGCCTCTCCTTACTCAGGACTTTAGAGTCGACTCATAAGTGCCTCTCCTTACTCAGGACTTTAGAGTCGACTCATAAGTGCCTCTCCTTACTCATCATATCCCCTCCTCCTTCACATCCCCTCGTATTGTATATCCACCCCTATAACCCTTGCCCGTGCCACTCCACCCAATGGTGATTGTCACCAGATGTCATGTCGAATGCCCCTGTTCTTCCTTTTGCAAGCTTCTCGCCATCTCTCAGCTTCTATTGCCACAGACTTGGCTAATCCACCTTTGGCCTTCATGTCGTCTCCCCTTCACACGCACCTTCTCCGAACCTGCGACCCACAAACGTCTCCCTCCTAATCGTCTCCCACGCACCTTCTCCCAACCTGCGCCCCACAAATTCTCCCCCCTACACATCTCCCCTTCACACGCACCTTCTCCCAACATGCGCCCCCCAAATGTCTCCCCCCTGAACATCTCCCCTTCACACGCACCTTCTCGGTTCCTTTCGTGCCATGTGCTGTTTTCTGTGTGCTTGCTGTGCTGTGTTGCCACACCAGCGGATGGCAAGATTGGCCATTCCACCCAGGGCAACCACATCTTCCTCTTTCCAGGGTAAGCCATCTCACCTTACCCTCCTCTGACTACTGCTAAAAGGAATCCCCCTTGCTGCTCGTCCCCATGGGTGAGAATCCCTGGTACCTCATGTGCAAGATCGGCCATTCCACCCAGGGGAACCACATCTTCCTCTTCCCAGGGTAGGCCGCCTCTCCCTTGCACCACCACCTCCACCGTCACCACCACCACCACCACCACCACCACCACCACCACCACCACCACCACCACCACCACCGCCACCACCACCACCACCGCCACCACCACCACCACCACCACCACCACCACCACCACCACCACCACCACCACCTCCACCGTCACCACCACCACCACCACCACCACCACCACCACCACCACCACCTCCACCGTCACCACCACCACCACCATCACCACCACCACCACCACCACCACCACCACCTCCACCGTCACCACCACCACCACCACCACCACCACCACCACCACCACCACCACCACCACCACCACCTCCACCGTCACCACCACCACCACCACCACCACCACCACCACCACCACCACCACCACCACCACCACCACCACCACCACCACCACCACCACCACCACCACCACCACCACCTCCACCGCCAAACCACCCATGGAAAACCACATCTTCCTCTTCCCAGAGCATGTCACCTCGCACTGCAACCCCCTGCACCCCAACCTCATGACACTCATACCCATCGCCACCCTGCCCCCTCCTCTCCAACACACACACGCAGACACACACACACTTTTACGCCCCCCTCCCCCTCGTGTGTTCCCCCTCCCTCATCCCATCCCATCCGATCCCACTGCTCCCCATACCGCTCCCCATCCCATCCCACCGCTTCGCATCCCCAGCATTGCGGCCGGGGCACTGCTATCAGGCGCGCGCCTGGTGTCTGAAGGGATGATCCACGCGGCAGCCAACGAGTGAGTCTGAGTCGACTTACATGTGCGCATCGGGTGCCTCATTAAAAGATCCCACGAGTGCAGTTGTGCTGTGCAGCCAACATTTGAGCTGGATTCGAAAGAAGGAAGTCCAGGGTTCAGGCAGCAAGTGAAATGCTGTCATATGAACTTCATATCATGAAGCAACCACCTCATCAGTAACCCCGACTCTGCCTGCCTTGAAAGATCGCTTGTGCGTGGAATGGAATGATAGCGGAATGATCGACACCTTTAGCCACACTTTGCCTGCCAAGAAGGATGAGCGGGCGCATGAGGCTGCGCTCTGCTCTTGTACTTTCTGTCTCGTCCTACTCTCGCCTTTCCCATTTCCTGCCTCTAGCCCGCCCCTCTTGCCGCCTCCTCCCCTTGCCCCTCTCTCCCATTTTCCCCCGGCTCCACTGCCCTCCCAGGGTGGCGCACTATATTTCAGACGATGACGTCAAGAAAGGCATTCTATTCCCGTCACTATCCAGGTATGTCGATTAGTGAGCCCATTCCATTTCAACGTACCCTTTGAGCTTGGCCTATCTGCCTTCCCATCGCTATACGAGAATGGAAAGGTTACCACTGCTCTCCACTGATCCAGCGAGGTGACATCCTGCCACCCTTCCTCTCCATCCCCCAGCATTCGTGACATCACATCACACGTCGCAGTGGCCGTGGCTCGCAAGGCAGCAGAGGAGGGATTAGCTGAGGGCATTCCCAGCCTGCATGCCGATCAGCTGCTGACGCTCTCCAAGGTATGTACATGCTGATCCGACCCATGCACACCTTATGACACCATGTTACCACATTCACTTCATATGCTCATGGTGTTTTGCATTGTGAATCTTGGGTGGAAATTGCATCTTGAGCAGGAGGGTTTAAGGAAGCAGGTGGAGAAGCGCACATGGGTACCTGCATACTCTCCACTCATTTATGGGGCGGATTTGGCAAGATAGTCGTGATTCAGTCAAGGACGTTTAGTACGTCAACAAGCATTGATATGCTCGTATCAGTGCAGAATAATGTGAAACCGCATGCTCTTATATATGGCATTCTCGCTTAAAATCAACTTAAAACCCGCAGCCTGAATTACAAAAGCGAGTCAACGCTAGGTTTGGGTTGGGTTGGGGGTCAAGCAAACTGAGGTTCGGAAGTTTAACGAAAGTTGCACCCTAGCGAAAACGAAGTGCGACAACCTGGTGTCGCACCAAGCACATGACTCGGGAGGGGAATGTGCCTGCATTTGTTATATGAGAGTGAACAAAAGCACCTCGACATACCTTACACCAGGTTAGAAGCTAATAGTTAGACTTCAAGTAGGAAAACGTCACCATGCGACCAAAACGACGGCATACCATCCGCGTTTCCCCTATACATCGCACGCAAGTTCAAGCCCCGTCGCCCACAATTTTAGGGTTACAGCGCGTGCAGTTCCGATACCCGGCGACGCCCGCATTTAGAATTCCCGTCGCCCGCATTTAGCATTTTCGTCGCGTGAGCGTGCCATTCCCGTAGCGCTAATATCCTCTACCCGTCACACGCAGGTCCCGTTCGACCCGCCCGCATTTCCCCTTCAATTCGCGGGCCGCATTTCCCTCACACTCATCCCATTTCCAGGTAACGACCCATCCCCAGCGCCCTCCCATTCTCTACCCCAGCGCCCTCACTCTCCCGTCCACAGCGCCATCACAATCCCCTCCAGATTGCCCCAAGCCCATCGCGGAGCCTACCCCATCCCTCACCTCCCCATCCGTCACCTCCCCATCCCTCATCTTCCCTCGCACACTTGTCACGCCCCCTTTCCAACCCGCACATACACCCTTCCCTGTTTCCCCGTATCCCCTGCGCTGCTTCCCCCCATCCTCCGACTTGCTTCCCCCCATTTCCTTCCCTGCTTCCCCCCGTCCCCTCCCCTGCCTCCCCCCATGCCCGTCCCTGCTTGCCCCCATCCCTTCCCTGCTCCCCCCCATCCCCTAACCTGCTTCCCCCCATCCCCTTCCCTGCTTCCCTCCGTCCTCTTCCCTCCTTCCCCCCGTCCCCCTCCCACCATCCCCCCATCTCCTTCCCTGCTTCCCCCCATCCCCTTCCCTTCTTCCCTCCACCCCCTTCCCTCCTTTCCCGCGTCCCCCTCCTAGCATCCCCCCCCGTCCCCCTCCCACCATCCCCCCATCCCCTTCCCTGCTTCCCCCCATCTCCTTCCCTGCTTCCCCCATCTCCTTCCCTGCTTCCCCCCATCCCCTTCCCTGCTTCCCCCCATCCCCTTCCCAAGTTCCCCCCATCCCCTTCCCTGCTTCCCCCCATCTCCTTCCCTGCTTCCCCCCATCCCCTTCCCTGCTTCCCCCCATCCCCTTCCCTTCTTCCCTCCGCCCCCTTCCCTCCTTTCCCCCGTCCCCCTCCTAGCATCCCCACCCTTCCCCCTCCCACCATCCCCCCATCCCCTTCCCTGCTTCCCCCCATCTCCTTCCCTGCTTCCCCCATCTCCTTCCCTGCTTCCCCCCATCCCCTTCCCTGCTTCCCCCCATCCCCTTCCCTGCTCCCCCCCATCCCCTTCCCTGCTTCCCCCCCGCCCCCTTCCCTCCTTTCCCCCGTCCCCCTCCTAGCATCCCCCCATCCCCTTCCCTGCTTCCCCCCATCCCCGTCCCTGCTTGCCCCCATCCCCTTCCCTCCTTCCCCCCGTCACCCTCCCTTCACCCTTGCTCCCTAGGTTTCACCCTTGCTCCCTCTGTTTCACCCTTGCTCCCTCTGTTTCACCCTTGCTCCCTCTGTTTCACCCTTGCTCCCTCTGTTTCACCCTTGCTCCCTCTGTTTCACCCTTGCTCCCTCTGTTTCACCCTTGCTCCCTCTGTTTCACCCTTGCTCCTTCTGTTTCACCCTTGCTCCCTCTGTTTCACCCTTGCTCACTCCCCTTCTCCTCTTCTCACTCTCTTCCCCCTTGCTCACTCTCTTCACTTCTGCTCACTCTGATCCCCCCTGCTTCCTCTCTTCCCCTCTGCTCAATCTGTCCCGTGCTGCTTCTTCTCTTCCCTTCTGCTCATTCCATTTACTGTCTTTCCCCATTCACTCACCCCCATATCCCCCAATGCAGTTACAGGTGTTTAGCACCAGATGTGGCTTTACCACGGCCTGGTTTATTGCTTGCAGTGTAGCAGACAAAACCGGGAAGCAACATTACACACACACCCCCTAGCTTTGTTCTTTTCTCGAGTAGAGTGATTCCCCTTGCTTTACAGATACGGTAATATATTATTTGTTGAACTCCTTGGTATTGGTCATGTGTATGACTGCTCTGAGGCTCATAATGCTGTATATTGAGAAAGCTTGCTTTCTGTTCTTGCAAAGGCAACTGGCTTCATTACAATTGCAGTAATACAACATTCTCGTCCAACTATGGATCATACAAATATTGGTACAACTAGGGTGGGTGGGTGGGGAGTGAAACTGCAAAGTTCTGAAATGAAGTCGTGGGTGGAGGCCGAATGGCCTCCAACCCTCGTTATGTACTCGGCGAATTGTAATTCGCCGTTGCTTTGCTTCGTTACAGGCAGCTGCGCTTTCACAATACGCATTTTTAGAAAGTGTTACACACTTTCGAAAAAAATCATTATATAAAAAAAGGTCCAATACATGGCATGGCTATATGTCGTGTTACTATCAGTCAGCCAGGCCATCACAACCAGATGCAAAGCGGACCTATCCAAACACAAACCAAGAAGTCAGATGTGACGTGGATGAAGTATAAGGGAAGCAAGCATGCAAAAGAATGACAATTGGCGAATGAGGAAGGGAGGATCGAAGGGAGGAAGTGAGGAATGCAGGAATGAAGGAAGGGAGGAAGTGATGATGGGAGGAAGGGAGGTAAGGAGGACGTTTGGGGGAGAAGCAAATGGGAGGGGAGGAAGAGAGGCTGGGGAGGAAGGTGGGGAGCCCCAGAGCAGCGCAGAGCACCGCATCTCGCGTAGCTCTGCACAGCACTGCAGAGCAGAACAGAGCACAGAACCGCACCGCACACAACTGCACAGCAGAGCATGTTGTGTTGCGGCTCACCTGTAGCACGAGCACAGCAGCAGCTGTAGCACGTGCTTCCAGTTGTCCCTGCAGAAGAGAGTGAAGGGGCGGGAATGGGGGAAACAGGGGAGAGGGGGCTGGGGAAAAATAGGATTGAGGCTATGGAGGGAAATAATGGAGAGGGCGATCGGGAGGGGAAACAGGGGGAACTTGTTGAGACGGAATGGAGTGAGGAGGAAAGGGGTGAGGAGGAGATGGGGTGGGGCGGACTGGGGTGGGGCGGCAATGGTGCCTCCCACGGTGTCGCGGCGCCCCCGACTCAGCACGACGACTCGCCCCCACTCCTCCACCTCGCGTCCACCCCATCCCTGAGGGCAGGGGATGGGATGGGGTTGACGGGGGAGAGGCGGGGATGGTGACGCGGGGAGGGGCACACAGGGCGGGTTTCCGCATCATTTACAGCAACAGCAGCAAGGATGGGGAGGTGAGGGATGGGGAGGTGAGGGCTGGGGAGGTGAGGGATGGGGAGGTGAGGGATGGGGAGGTGAGGGATGGGGAGGTGAGGGCTGGGGAGGTGAGGGATGGGGAGGTGAGGGATGGCGCTGCAGCAGGAAATAAACCGCTGCCTTGTCGTACGCTGCATGCGCTGACTCTAACTCTAGCCTGAGGGGAGAAAGGGTGGAGATGAGAAGGGAGAAAGGGGACGGGAGAGAGTGAGCGAAGGCGACGGGAGGGGGGTAAGCGTGGGCGACGGAAGGGAGTGAGAGTGTGCGACGTACGGGCAGTGAGCGTGGGCGACGAATGGGGAGAGAGCGTGCGCGACGGGGAGGAGTGAGCGTGGGCGACGGATGGGGAGAGAGTGTGCGCGACGGGGAGGAGTGAGTGTGGGCGACGGATGGGGAGAAAGCGTGCGCGACTGGGAGGAGTGAGCGTGGGCGACGAGAGGGAGAGGGAATGGGCGAGGGAGGGGAGTGAGCATGTGCGACGGAGGGGACCGTCGCGGCGGGAGGGAGTGAGCGTGGGTGACGGGAAGGGAGTGAGTGCGGGCGACGGAAGTGATTGAGAGAGGGCGACGGAAAGATTGCGCGAAGGCGATGGGAAGGGAGTGAGCGTGGGCGACGGGAAGGTCTTGAGCGTGGGCAACGGAAGGGAGTGCGAGTGGGCGGCGGGAACGGAGTGCGCGTGGGCGACGGAAGGGAGCGTGCGTGCTCGGTCTTGGGGAGTGCGCGTGGGAGACGAGAAGGAATTTGTTATCCGCGACGGAGGGAAGCGAGCGTGCGAGGCAATGGGGATTGCGCGAAGGAGACGGGAGGGGAAAGAGCGTGCTCGTTCGAGCGAGGAAGCGTGAGCGATGGAGGGGAGAGCGTGTGTGGGACGGAAGGGGACCGAGTGTTCTCGTCGGGGAGAAGAAGCGAATGCGACGAAGTAGTTGGATAAAATCTTAGAAACGCGGACAAAGAGGACGCCGCTGGCTATGGACAGGGGCGACATCGATGCGGTGGGCGATGGGGAGGTGTAACCAGGGCGACGATGGGCATATGTGCATCCATGGGCACGGCTAGCTATGTCGAGTGAAAGCGTGACCTAGAATCGCGGAGCTTTATCTACGGATTGGACTGAATGGAGTAATAGCCCTAAGGAGTAAGGCAGAAATAAGAGGCCTGGCGCTGGAATGGGGTTGGAGCCTAGCTGTTCTAGGCTATGGCTGCTGCTCTAGCTGATCAGACTAGGCATTTTTGAACGACCTGAGTTACAGGTTTCTAGTTTGGTGTGCACACCTCCGGCCAGAGTGGTTGCGCAGGGACCGAGCGACACTTCCCTGAGCTACCTGCAACTTCATCACGTTTTGCAGGTGAACTGGTAACCACCCTGGTTCGGGAGGGAAAGTGTTAACACCTCCCAACCTTTTTTGTAATTCAGGCTGCGGGTTTTAAATGAACCATGTAGCATGTGCGCATGTTTGTATGAATACATAAGGCTGTAACAAAATAGATCTTAGAAGCAACCCAGCAACTCAGAAACATACATGTACATGATCCTTGGGTGAAATTCACAGAACAGCTTCGTACAGTAACGGGTTTGACTGGCAGGGGAACACGTGAAGTATGGTCAGCATCATGTGGGCTGAGGCAATTGGGGCAGATGCCACGTAGTCCAGCACGCTTCTGACTCATGGCATGCTCGATTTCGTAATGCTGTCATGCCAGTGACACAAAAGGAGTGGTTCGTCACGTCACATAGTCATGTTCAAACGTTACCGGTGACTCGATTCATGTGCATTCGATGTACCATCACCTCGAGGGAAGGTCCTCCCTATCAGCATGCACTGTGCATGTATGATGGAACCAACCACTCGAACGCGTTCTCTGTTTTCCATCACGTGCACGACAGTTCGCGAACATACCACCGCCACCGTCCTCTTCGCATACCGCTTCGTCAGATTGGTGGTGCCAGTCTGTCTTGCACCGCTCAGCGCGTTTCGCCTGATGGGATTGGCTCAGCGACACAAGCACCATGAAGGTTTCGCTAGTGACGCAACGGGACTGGTTCCACAATTACCAGAGCAGCAAATCCCGAGGCCAGCGGTGCGTTATCCACATCAATTTCGACCAATCGGGGCTGCTCTTTCCAATCACGAATGTTCGAGATAAGGCTTGAGTGGTCTGGAAGCAAGAACCGTGGTCGCCGGCGTCGCCAAGTAAGCATCGCAAGAAAGTCCCCCCACCCAAGATTATTCAACCCCCATCTACACCCTCCTTCCCTCCCATCCCGTTCTTGGGAATCCCACAGCTCCATTTCTTGAGCAAGGTGGCCTCATTTCTTCCTGTACAGTTTTGGTTTCTTGATTTCGTTTCACAGCACTGCCGTGGTTCGGATGGACGGCATCAGAGCGGACTGCCAGGCCAACGTCTCGTGACGCGCTACCTTGGGTTCATCTGGCTGTGAGCAATACGCCGTGATGATGATCTCTTGGTTAGGTGTCCGTGATTTGTTGATGGCGTCTGAGTTACTTGGTACAGAGTCCCGTGGTTCCAGTACTCTATGGGCCGTGTGGTCGTCCTATTCGTTCGGTTGAGGTTACTGTGTTACTGTTGAACTTGGTGGCAAATTTGACGTCGTCATGAGGCTGGATACTTACACGTCCTCGAATCCCGCAAGGGCTGTCGACGCTTTAGAGAACACGAAGGGCTTGTCACCGTTCGCCCTAGGTTCGCTATGTCCGCGATATTTTGGCACAGTTTGAGCGTATCGTATTTGCCGTGGAAGAGTTTTACTCTCGGTCGTGATACCGTCGTGAGCGTCTTGAAGAGCGAAGGGTCCGTGCGAAGCGCGTGATTTATTCAGCATACGAGTTGGATGGTCGAGACTTCTGAACTATTCGAATGAGTGGGCCGTCCGTTGCCCGTCTTTGTATTCTGAAATATATACGTGAGATGGAAGGTTATATTGGTTATATAAGATGTATCCGCTTGTGGAGAGTCAGGTTAAAATTGTGATGTATGTCTATATGTGCGTATGTAAAGACGACTACGCTTTTAGGATTGTGACATGTTTCTACTCTTACGCAGGCTGTGAAGGGGTGGGGCTGTGTGCGCGCACTTCGCGGGGTCAAAATGTTTGTGTTTGTTATTTTGCTGTCAGCAGCTAAGAGGGATGAAGCAGGACTTCGGAGAGTTTTGAAACGAATCTGGTAGTCTTGGGGGGATCAGCTTCTGCTTGTCTGTAATTGTTTTGTAGTCTGCAGGTCTCAAGGCAAAGGCGAAACGAAGTCGTAGGGTGGGATTGCCTTGCTGGCTCTATCCGTCGCATCCCTCTCTCTGCTTGACAGGATTCGTCTCCAGACATCATTCAACTCGCGAACTAGCAGTAACCCGTTATGAGCTCCTTATTGGGACAGCAGCTGCAGCCCTCCCAGACAGCGCAGACATGACTATGGAGATATCACTTGCAGAAGGTTCTGTTTCTTACGCACTCCGGTAACAGGTGGTGTTTCTACCACGGTTCCGTCCAGTTCCTGCCCGGGTGCTCCTCCCTCCACCCCATCCCCCCAAGGGGGCTCTGGGGCTTTCACCTTTTTTCTGCTGCCTTTTGCTGTGTGGCTGTTGTTTCCCTACAAGCAGCACAGTATGACGGACGCGTGAATTTATTTCCTTTACAACCGACTCGTCGCAGTTGCTTCGAGAGGTCGTGCACAGCCGTCGCTTCTGTCTACCGTCAAATCTAGGCCAGCTCCCCCGCGTTCGGTCACCTTACCTGCGTTTTTCGTCTTTGACTGGTCCCGTGTCGATACTGCGTCTTCCCGCGCTCTTGCGTGCGTTTCCGCTAGCTGGTCTTACTTCGTCTGCCCCCCACCCCACCCCACCCCATCCCCTCCGGGGGCTCTGGGGCTTCAAAACATCTCGTGTTCTTCTTGGTCTTGCTCCGTTGCCCTGCCAGCAGCACAGCAGGCTGAGTGACACGCTTGACATCGAGCACCACGCGCCACACACCACGTGACACGCTTGAAATTCATCCAGCCATTGATGGGCCGATCGGGTAGCTAGTGCTGTGACTTGTTACGTTTCGATGGCCGTTGCGATTTCTTCGAGAGTCCTTACCGCGTCGTTGACCTTGCGTTGCTGCTCGTATGTGTCAGGCTCGCTGGTGTCAGGCTTGCTGCTTCTCGCACCCCTCCCCCCCCTCCCCATCCCCTTCGGGGGCTCTGGGGTTTCAGTTTTCCTCCTCCCTCCGTCCCCATAGTCCGTTCCATGCCAGCAGGCTGGCGGACAGACGCCGTCCGAGTTAGCCTTCGGTACGAGCGGCCCTTCGCAGCACGTGACGGAGATTTGCTCATGAAAGACCGGGTAGCTGTAGCTCTGTGCTGGTGTGCGTTTTTTACGTCTACGTTTAACTGATGACTTCGTTCCGTCACAGTCTCGGAAGTTTTCTTGGTTGCTCCGTCAGTGCCAGGCTTGTTGCCTCTCGGTCCCCTCCCCCCCTCCCCATCCCCTTCGGGGGCCCTGGGGTTTGAGTTTTCCTCTTCTGCCCCCATCCGGTCTGTTAGTCCCTACCAGCAGCACATCAGGTGTCTGCGACTAGTTCTCCTCGCTTATTGGCCCATAAACTTCTCAAGAACAGACAGCCCACTGCGGACGCTGAACGGTCGGTGTGGTTGATTGTAGTAACCACCTTCGCGTTTCTTTTGTTTTTAGTATGCCCCTCGCCATTAGCTGCGTCCTTTCCCTGTGACCCTTCGTCTAGGCTGTAGGCGCGGTCTCGTTTCACTCGTTCCGTTACACGTGCGCTCTTCCTGGTTGGCGTCCCCCCTCCCTCCCCCCTGGGCCCCCCTGGCCCCGTAACCTGTGTCTCGTTTCTCTTTCCCTCGTGTAGCCACACTGCGCGTGTCCCCACAGGCCGCCTTCCCCTGCGGTCGGTTGTCCCTAAGCCTTCAGGTGTTCCGCTCTTCCTCGCCAGGTTTCTCGCTTTCCTCCGTGCTCTGCCGACCCGTTATTGTCTCGCTCCATTGCAGCTCCGTCCATCGTCTTGTTGCGTCGAGTCCTCCTAGCCTCCTCGTTGGCGTTCCCCGCTCCTGTCCCCCCCTCCCCCCCCCCGGGCCCCCTGGCCCCATAACCTGTGTCTGTTTCCCTTCCTCTCCAAGCCACACCGCTCTCGCCCCCACAGGCCGCGTTCCTCCATCTCTCCCTTGGTCCCTTGGCCGTCCCTTCTCGTTCAGCCTCGTTGCTACTCCTAAGGTTCCCCAACCGTTGTGACTCTTGAGTGTTCCAGTCCTCGTCAATGCTCTAGACGTCGGTGCTCTTGGCTTGTCTTCCTTGCCTTGGTCCCTCTCCTGGTTGGCGCTCCCCTCTCTCCCCCTTCCCCCTCCCTGGGCCCCCCTGGGCCCATAACTTGTTCTCTCTTCCTTCCTCCTGTAGCCTCCCCTCGTTGCTTTCCCGCAGGTTGTGCTCCTAAGTTTTCTTCTCTTCTTCCGCCGCCTCTGCTCGCGCTCCTGGTTTGCTAAAGCTTCCTGCGTCGCGTTAGCTACTGCCACGTGTTTCCCAACCGTTGCTTCATCCCTGCGCGCCTCTGCGGTCTCGTACGCTCCCCCTGCCACCTCTGCTCTCGCTTTCTCTCCACCAAGGTTCCTGGGCTAGTGGTTCGATCCAGCAGTGCGTTTCTCCTTTTTCTTCCCTTCCCTCTTAGGCGTTCCTTGACTGTTGTGGTTGGTGCTCCTCCTCCCCGTCCCCTCCCCCCCCCCCCTCCCCTCCCCCGGGCCTCCCTGGCCCCATAACCTGCGTTCTCTCCGCGTCTCTTCCCCTGCCAGTCAACCCCCCCGTCCAGGCTGCGTGATGTGCCGCTCTTCTTGCGCTCGCTCTCCCTGCGTCATCCCTACCCGCCCTGCGCCATCTCTACCTGCGTCTTCTCCCCGCCCGCGCTCTTCGTGTGTTTGCTACTAACACCTCCGTCACCTCGGTCTGCACGTGTCTACTTCCCTCTGCTCGTCTTCTTCTGCTTACGTGTCTTCTTCCGTCTACGTGTCTACCTCCGTCTACTCGTCCATCCACTCGTCTACTGCCGTTTACGTGTTTACTACTGTCTACGCGTCTACTACTGTCTACACGTCTACTGCCGTCTACAGGTCTGCTGTCGTCTACACGTCTACTGCCGTCTACACGTCTACTGCCGTCTACACGTCTACTGCCGTCTACACGTCTACTGCCGTCTATACGTCTACTGCCGTCTACACGTCTACTGCCGTCTACACGTCTACTGCCTGTCGCCCTTCGTTCCGAGTAGACTCCGCCTGTCCTGTAACGGTGTGTCTGGAGGTTTGTGTTTGTGTGCCCTGAAGTTCTAGTTTGTTGCGCACATACCAGGTAGTGAGTTTTATGTCGGTGTGCTATTCCAGGCCGTAGCGTATATATCAGACAATGAGTTTTGCAGAGTTCTAGTCCGCTTTCCTCTTGCTTGTGCTTTCTCAAACTGTAGGTGCTAATGGGATAGGGAGGAGACTAGGCAGGTGGTTGTTGTTGGCTTTTGCCGTTGCTGTGTGTTGCTCCGTGCTATTCTGTGCGTCCAGGGCAGGGAGAGAGCGTGCTGGGAAGAGGGTAGGCTGCACTGCTGAGACAAGCCTTCTGCTGTCGGGGTGCGTCTGTCGGGTCAACAATTTCTGCTGAACGAACGCAAGCGAGTCGACAAGGGGTGGTTAGCGCGGGGTGCTGAACGGACGGAACAACACAAGCAATCGGCGCGCCATGTGTCTGCTGTCTGCACGGCTGCGTAAAGAACCACCGGCCGCGAAGGGAAGACACATGAAAGGCGTTCGTGTTTGCAGGTTAAACTTTTGGGCGCAAGTGCGGGGTGTTGGACGGGGCATGAACAACTATTGGCGCGCCATGTGTCTGCTGTCTGCACGGCTGCGTGAAGAACCACCGGCTGTGGCGGGACGACACATGAGGAGGCAGAAACTGGCGGTTGTGTGGCTGCTGGGAAGAACGGATGGTTGCAACACGGGTGTGCGGGCGAACGCGAACGCGAACGCGAGCGGGAGCGAGTGCCGCGTGTGTCTGCTGGCTGCACGTCTGCTGGGGCAACCACAGGCGACGACAGGAGACACTCGCGATTCCCCTTTCGTTTGCAGGTTGAGAAGCGAACGCTCTGCATGGGAGGCCGCGTGTCTGCTGTCTGCACGTCCGTTGGACAACCGCGGGCGCTGATGGGAAGACACGAGGGTTCGGGCTCGAGTGGTGAACGCGTGAGGGGCGTGTACGGCGTTACGGAGTGGCGTGCGTCTGCTGTCTGCACGTCTGCTGGGACAACCGCGGGCCCTGATGGGAAGACGCGTGCGGAGGTGGAGCGAAGTTCATGGCGAGAAACGAGCGAGCGGGAGAATCAGAAACGACGCGTGTGTCTGCTGTCTGCACGTCTGCTGGGACAACTTCAGGCTGCAACACGAGACACCCGCACCCCCCCTTTCTTGCAGGATGAAGAAACAAACACGCAAAGACGTTTCGAAAGAACACTCAGGGACGATGAACGAACGAGTGGGGCGAGGAACGGTATTGAGTGGCGCGCGTCTGCCTTCTGCACGTCTGCTGGGTCAACCGTGGGCGTTGGTGGGAGGACGCGGGCGTTGGCGGGAGGACGCGAGCGGAGACGGAAGTGGTGAAAGGCGGTGCAGGGCACGAGCGAGCGAGACGTCAGCGGGGGGAGGTTGGCGCAGGGCAACGCGCGCGCGTGTGTGTCTGCTGTCTGCACGTCTGCCGGGACAACCGCCGGCTGCAGCGAGAGACACCCACCATACCCCCTTTTTCTTGCAGGTCGTGAGAAGGAAGTACGAAGGAAGTATGAAGCGCGATCCATGGAGGTCCAGCGATGTGAGAGAGGGACGCGCGTGTGTCTGCCGTTTGCTTGACTGCAATGGGAAGACACACGAGGATGAACGCGCAAGGGTGTGGGGCGACGTTACGAGCGGTTGCGCGGATGGTGAACTGGGCGAATGCAAACGCGGGCGCGGGCGAGTGCGAACGCGGGCGGATGGGGATACGCGTGAGGATGCACGCGGGGGGCGTGCGGGCGGCGAGCGGGCATGCGGACGGGAAACCGTGAACGCGAACGCGAACGGGAGCGGAATCGAGTGGCGTGTGTCTGCTGTCTGCACGTCTGCTGGATAACCGCGGGCTGCAACGGGAGACACCCACCAACCCCTTTTTTCTTGCAGGTCGTCCTTTGAGAAGGCAGTAGAAGTGACAGTGCGGTCGGTGGAGGGCGAGCGACGTGAGAGAGGGACGCACGTATGTCTGCCGTCTTCTCGACTGCAACGGGAAGACGCTTGAGGGTGCACGCGCGGGGGCGTGCGGGTCGCGAGCGGGTGCGCGGATGGACAAGCAGTTGGATGTGAACGCGAGCGGATGGGAAGATGCGTGAGGATGCACGTGTTGGGGCGTGCGGGCGACGAGTGGGTGTGGACGGAAAATCGGTCGGACGCGAGCGCGAGTGGGATGGAGTGGCGAGTGGCTGCTGTCTGCACGTCTGCTGGGACAACCGCGGGCTGCAACGGGAGACACCCACCCAATCCCCTTTTCTTTGCAGGTCGTGAGAAGGAAGTATGAAAGCGACAAGTGTGAGAGGCGCGGGTTTCTGCTGTCGCCACGGCTTCAGGATAAAGTGTGCTGCTACAATGGGAAGACACGCGAGGGTGCACGCGGGGGGGCGTGCGGGTGACGAGCGCAGTTGTGCGGACTGGAAACGCGGGCGAGAACGAACGCGAGCGGGATTGACGAGTGGCGAGTGGCTGCTGTCTGCACGTCTGCTGGGACAACAGGGCTGCAACGGGAGACACCCACCCAATCCCCTTTTCTTTGCAGGTCGTGAGAAGGAAGTATGAAAGCGACAAGTGTGAGACGCGGGTTTCTGCTGTCGCCACGGCTTCAGGATAAAGTGTGCTGCTACAATGGGAAGACACGCGAGGGTGCACGCGGGGGGGCGTGCGGGTGACGAGCGCAGTTGTGCGGACTGGAAACGCGGGCGAGAACGAACGCGAGCGGGATTGACGAGTGGCGAGTGGCTGCTGTCTGCACGTCTGCTGGGACAACAGGGCTGCAACGGGAGACACCCACCCAATCCCCTTGTCTTTGCAGGTTTTTGAAGAGAAACTCGCTGGATGTGGGCTGGAGTGGTACGCACGACTTCGTCTGCGCTTTTGCTGTTGGCACAGGGGCACTTCGCACTTTGGCAGGACGTAGTCACGTTGGTACTTCTGCACTTCGGCACCTCTGCACGTGGGCACCTCTGCACGTGGGCACCTCTGCACGTGGGCACCTCTGCACGGGGGCACTTCGGCACGGGGGCATTTCGGCACGTGGGTCTCCTGCAGTCTCCTGCACGGGGGCACTTCGGCACGTGGGTCTTCTGCACGGGGGTACTTCGGCACGTGGGTCTTCTGCACGGGGGTACTTCGGCACGTGGGTCTTCTGCACGGGGGCACTTTGGCACGTGGGTCTTCTGCACGGGGGCACTTCGACACGTGGGTCTTCTGCACGGGGGCACTTCGGCACGTGGGCCTTCTGCACGGGGTAACTTCGGCACGTGGGTCTTCTGCACGGGGGCACTTCGGCACGTGGGTCTTCTGCACGGGGGCACTTCGGCACGTGGGTCTTCTGCACGGGGGCACTTCGGCACGTGGGTCTTCTGCACGGGGGAACTTCGGCACGTGGGCACTTCGGCACGGGGGCACTTTTGTACTTCTGCTGGGTCACCATTATCTGCGTTGGCGAGCGCGCGGGTGGGGCGAGGTACTTCGGTGGGCGGGTGGCTAACAGCGGGTGGTGAGAGACTTGTGGCGAACACGGTTGAGATGGAGCGACGCGCGTGTGTCTGGTATCTGCACGTCTGCTGGGACAACCTTGGGTCTGTTACGGCAAGACACAGCGCAGTTCGTTTTGCAGATTATCGAGAGGCTAGTGCGTTTGTCTGCAGCGTTTATCTTCTCGGCTGCTGGGACAACCACCACAACGGTACGGGCGCGGATGGGTGTATGGTGGACGGGCGTTCAGTGAACGGGTAATTCGGGAACTGGGACGGGATTGTGCGAGCGACAGCGAGGATCTGCTGGGACGACTACATCGGTGTGGGCGCGGGTGGGTGCACGGTGACGGGCGTTCGGTTGGTGGACAATTGGCGAGCGGGGACGGGATTGAGCGGGCGAGGGCGAATGTGTGCTGCAACTGCGCGTGTTTTGTGAGACAGACAGGAATGCAGAATGAACGACACTCGCGGTGGAAAAATGTGCTGAGCTCGGTGATGGGACGGGACTCGCAGTGGTGATGGGCGCGGTGGTGACGGGACGTGTGCGCGGCGGACGGGTGCGCGCGGCGTATGGGCGGAAGGCGGTCGGGCGCAAGGCGGAAGGATGCGCGGCGTATGGGCGCATGGCGGTTGGGCGCAGGACGGACGGGGTTGGGGCGCGTGTGTCTGCTGCGTCTGCACGTCTGCTGGGACAACCTCAGGCTGCAACGCCAAACCCCATTGTCGTGCAGATTGAAGTGATGATGGGACGGATGGGAAACGAGTACGGGAACAAGACTGGTACGGGGGCGACTGGCGCATGGTGCGGAGGCGAATGGCGCATGGTGTGGGGGCAACTGGCGCATGGTGCGGAGGCGAATGGCGCATGGTGTGGGGGCAACTGGCGCATGGTGCGGAGGCGAGTGGCGCACGGCGGATGAGTGCGCGGCGGACGGGTGTGGGGCGTCCGGGGACGGGTGGCTGCCGCGTCTGCACGTCTGCTGGGACAACCACAGGCTGCAGTGGAGAAACCCGCTTCCATTCTTCACAGGTTTTGAGTGTCGGACGCTGTGGGTGCATTGGCGTTTGAATAGGGGCAACCACGGGCTGTGATTGGGATGAGAACGACAGGAGGACGGACGGTGCGGCTGAAAGGATGTCTAATAGACAGACACCACACTGTGGGACACACTGCAAGCAAGCGACGGTGTCGGCTGAGAGTCACGCAGAGCTTGCGGGCACAGAACGAGCGGGGCAGAGTCGAGCATTGCGCGCGTCTTCTGTTGCGGGTTGGGGGTTACGAGTTGAAGGCGATTGGGAGTGTCAAAAGTGTGAAAGAGAGCGGTTAGAGGCGGTTGTGTGTAGTGACAGGTGGACAGGCTGAGTCAGGTGGAGAGCCTGATAGTGGGCTAGCGTCTGTTGTGGGAGTTTGAGATGGGATGGAGTACACGGAGTGGAGGAGGTGCAGATGAACGATTCATGTGAGGAATGAGGTAGACATAGGGAGCTGTAGGTCAGGCCTTGGCTATTGGTATATTCTGATTTTGGTCTGGAACGTTCTGTGAGAGGTGACAGAAGTGGTTGTGGAGGGTGGTGGAGTAGAGAGGTTTTTGTGAGAATCTACATCTTGCAGTGTGAAGTGTAGCGGTTTCAGGAGGTGGCAGAGGAAGGGAGGATAGGATTTGTTGAAGCGGCTGAGTTAGATGGTGCTGGTTGTGAGAAATCAGAAGTGTGCTGTGACAGGTCAAGAGGATGGTTTGGTTAAGGGTGCCTGGTAGAATAGTCTGGAGCGAACGAGTGAGGGTGATACTGAAGTGTCAACGTTATGGCAGCTGATATGGGAGGGGTACCTGAAGACGTGAAGAGTGCTGCGTCATGGTGTGTGTTCCTGCTTTGCAATCCAGGTCTGTTTCTGCTTCTGCTGGGATTACATGGGCTGCTGTTCGGTGCTGTTGTCTTCGGTTCTGTGGGTGCTGTTGCTCGTGGGAACATGGTTGGGTTGGTGAAGCTGTGATCGTGGAGGGTTGCTGTGTTGGCGGTAGAGGTAGATGATAGGCGGTGGTGGGCGGGGTGGTGGTGACGTGTTCTCTCTCCCTGATGGGGTCTGCTGAAGAGGGAACCTGTGATCGCGGAAGGTTGCTGTGCTGGCGGTAGAGGTGGATGATATGCGGTGTCGGGCGGCGTGGTGGTGGCAGTTACTGCGTTTTGTCTCTTCCTGGTGGTGTACGGGTCGTGTTGGGGTCTGCTGAAGAGGGAAGCTGTGATGAAACCAGGCAAGCTGATGTTGAAGCTGTGTGGCTGCTGGGTGTCTCTGCTTGTGTATCTGCTGAATGTCAGCTGGTGTTCCTACTTCTGCTAGGCTGTTGGTGGCTGGTGGCTGTTGGTGGAGGCTCCCTGTCTCGTCTTCTTTTCTTACTTACTCACAGGAGCTAATGCAACAGGAGGCCTCGGGTCGATTGCTCGGTGGATTGAATTCATTCAAGACAGGAAAAGACAGGCAAGCTGATGAGAGATGCTGTGTAGCTGTAGCTGCTGCTCTGGTGGCTGGATATCCATTGCCCTTCTGTTTTGGCATCTGCTGGCCTTTCTGCTACTGAAACGTCTTCAGCCTCTAGCCTCTAACCATATTCACCATCTGCATACTGCTCTTCCGGCCAAATCATGTCATGTCGTGCTTTTCAATCAAACCTCATCACACCAGTTCACCTGCATACTCGTCAGTCAGTCAATATCACTTCGTCTCCATACTTTTCACCTCATCTGCATGGCATACTCTTACCTCAACTGAAACCCTTTCTGAGTGCCAAACTGTTTTGACTGTCAACCTGCCATTGTTGCTTACCTTAACTACTCTGCCATGTCAGCCGAAAACCTTCTTATTCCAGCCAATAATCCTGCTAAACGGATTATCACATTCAACCGAGCGCACCATCCAGATGAGCCTTTCATCTCTCAATATGACCAGATTTTCAACTTAACTTGACACCTTTCAGCTTGATGACACTGTTTTCGATTGATCTAGAGGACACTGTTTAACTGATACGACTCCTCAGCTCAACTCCTCAGCCACTTAGTTCTTCCACCCTTCTCATTCTCCTTGTTCTTAGTTGAATATACCTCTTTTCAATCCTCAAACGTCCCTGCAATACTCATTGACTGTCTGTAGTCCAGTCGTCTCAGATAGCACCAGTTTTTTTAGCCAAGAGGCTCCGTTGGTTGTTTTTTTATAGGTTCCAGCTGTCTACATAGCGGTTTCCTAGGTGGCAGCCGTAGCAGTTTTCTACTGGCAGTTTTCCTCTTAGTACCGTGCTACTTTGTGTGGACGGGAGGGAGAGGAGAGGCGGGGGACGCCGGGGCATTGGGGGCTCGCGGCAACGAGGGGGGGTGGACGACTTGATCAGCCGGCGGTCAGGTGTTGTGCTTCTTGCAACATTTCGTTTGTTGTTGGTTGTACACGGTGCTGTGTGGTGGAGTGTGGTGCTGTGTGGAGGGTTGATATGCAGGGAAGGGAGAGGAGAGGCAGAGGACGCAGAGGATGTTGTGGGTTCGTGGCAATGAGGGATGGACGACTGTATTAGCTGCTGGTCAGGTGTGGGGCTTCGTCGAGCATTTCGTTCTTCCGTTGTTGGTTGTATACGGTGCTGTGTGGTGGAGTGTGGTGCTGCGCTGTTGGGCAGGAGTGGCTGAAGCGACTAGAAAGGATGCAGGGGATATAGCACCTTTGTTGCAACGAGAGGGATGCAGAGTTCATCAGCCGGTGGTCAGGTGTGGTGCTTCTTGCAGCATTTCGTTTCCTGTTGTTGGCTGTACACGGTGCTGTGTGGTGGAGTGTGGTTGGGCAGGAGCAGCTGAAGCGTTCTGTTGTCAAGCAAGAGCAGTGACTCGGATTGTCCAAGCGACCAGTGGTAGTCAGGTGTGGTGCTTCTTGCAGCATTTCGTTTTCGTTGTTGGCTATACGCGGTGCTGTGTGGAGTGTGGTTGGGCAGAAGCAGCTGAAGCAATTAGCGGTAAAGCAAGAGCGGTGACTAAGACTATCCAAGCAATTAGTGGTTAGGAGTGGGCTGTTTTCCTCTGCAGTTTTTTCTGTCGGTCGTAGGTGGTGTTGTGTGGTGCTGCGTGGTTTGCGGTGGTTCTGGGTGGTTGGCAGAAGAAGAGGACGCGGTTATCCGTAGTGTCCGCAATTATGAAGCGAAGAGTGCGAAGCAGCAGAAGTTCAGGTGGTAGAGCCCCGGTTTTTTGGAAGTTTTCTTTCTGTTGCATTCGACCTCTGTGGCTGTGTGGTGCTGCGTGGTGGGGCAGAGCTTTTTCCAAGCTGTAGGGTGTTTTGAGCAACGGCAGTCAGTGGGTCTTCTCAACCTGTTACCGGTCAGTGTGGGCGTTTTTGCGCTTCCTACATTTCTCCAAGGTGCTGTGCAGTGCAGCGTGGTGGATTAGAAGCAGGGTGTTCTGAGCAACGGCAGTCAGCGGGTCTTCTCAACCGGTTACTGGTCAGTGCGGGCGTTTTGGTGCTTCCAACGTCTCTGGGGTGCTCTGCGGTGCTGTGTGGTGGGGCGGAAGTGGCAAGGTGTTTCAAGCAACGACAGCAAGCGGGTCTTCTCAACCGGCTAGCGGTCAGTGAGGGCGTTTTGGTGCTTCCAGCATTTCGTTCTGGTGCTGTTTGGTGCTGTGTGGTGGGGCAAGGTGGGGAGCAACCAGAGGAGTGACAGTAGCAGTTTGCAGCTAACAGTGGGCGACGGGAAAACGCGTTGAAGTCTGAAGCAAGCAACTCGATTGGAGGAAGCAACTCGATTCGCATCATCAATGATAAAGATAAGAGAATCCACAGTGAGGGTTGAGGTCTTCAACATTTCACAGTGAGCTGTGTGAGGTCATAAGCACTTGAACATGGAGAGGAGGCACTGAGTGTGGTGACACTGAGCTAGCTTGACACAGCCAAGGAGTTTAGGAGAAGTGCTTTTGAGTCTCAAAAAGAGTACCTGAGAGAGCCACGAAGAGCACTTGAGAGTCCCTCCACTGTAAATATTTGAGAGTGTTGCAAGCAGCAGAGTGTTGTAAAGGTTGATAGGAGCGGTGGTCTGAAGAAACATATTAAAAAACTCAGTGAGTGTAGCAGTGTAAAGGCAGATCAGAGGAAAAAGAAGGGAAAGAGCGGATGGACGGAAGCATGTGTAGGTAGCGCAACCACCTGACAACCCCTCCACACAGTAACACCACCTAAACCAGTCCTGCCAACCATACCTGTCCCCCTTATTATCCTTGTCCGACCCAGCAGTCCTTTGTCGTGTTGCGTTTTCCCTGTGTCCTGTCCCCCATTGTTAAACCCTCCACATAGTGAAGCCACCAGTCGTCTATCCTTGTCATCCTATACCCACTTCAGCAGTCCTTGTTCTCAGGTGTTCACCTTGTGTCCTGTCCACCATCTGACAAGCCCTCAATACAGCAAACCACCAGCTATACCAACCAAACCCTTCTCGATTATTATCTGTATCTGCCCCTGACCAACCGATTCCCTGGAGTTCCCTAGAGTCCTCAGTCCCAAGGCCGCCCACACAGTAAGCCACCAGTTTAAGATATGACATAAGTGCTCCTAAATATTCCCCGCCTGCCTCTTGTGGCCTTCCCTGCTGTCACTCTGTCGAACATACTCCCTTCTCCCAACAACCCCAGAGTGTAATTCCCTAAACCTGCAGAAATACATCTTACACACTCCCTCTCCTATATACCCTTAGTTCTCCCAGTTACCCTTAGTACTAACTATCATCTACCTATCCCTCAACTCAGCTTACCTTATCCTTCTAAAATACTGTCTTCCCCTTAACTCACCCTAACCTCTCCACATAACCCCTCTCTCGTGGTCTATGATGAGGCAGCTGCCTCTTGGGATGTGACCCATGTGCGCAATTCACCTGCTTTTAAGCGGATAATTGCTGGGAGCACCCTCTCATGAGGGCATCTCCCCTAGGCACATGGATGCACAGAACGCCACACTGTTGTCAACCCCTCTGGAGGAAGGAGCTTTGGCTTGTAGTCTCTACAGCCTTGGCTTTTGTCCCAGCAGGCTGATGTGGTATCCCAAGGCAGCACCCTGAGTCCATATTCACCAACCTATCGTTACATACTTAGATTCTCTTGTTCTTGTGCTTATGTTTTGTGTGTGTCTGCTCTTTTGTCTGATCTTGTTTTTCTCCTTTAGTTTGTAATTTTGTTTGCCTATTAGTTCTGCTATGTATAATAGTTTTTGCTAGAGTGGTTGGTGAATGGTGTTCAGTTTTGTTAGTTGGTCGGAGCGGTCATTAGTGCTGGTTGCTGGTGGGAGTGGTGCGCGCTTCGGCTGCTTCTGCAAGGGGTGTTGTTGTTGCTACAAGGGGGAGTGTTGCTACAAGGGGGAGTGCTGCTGCAAGGGGGAGTGCTGCTGCAAGGGGGAGTGCTGCTGCAAGGGGGAGTGCTGCTGCAAGGGGGAGTGCTGCTACAAGGGGGAGTGCTGCTACAGGGGGGAGTGCTGCTACAAGGGGGAGTGCTGCTATAAGGGGGGGTGCTGGTTCTATGAGGGGTGGTGCTGCTGTAAGGGGGGGTGCTGCTAAGAGGGGTGCTGCTGCTAGAAGGGGGATTGCTGCTGCTAGAAGGGGGAGTGCTGCTGGTAAGAGGGGTGGTGCTGCTGGTAAGAGGGGTGGTGCTGCTGGTAAGAGGGGTGGTGCTGCTGGTAAGAGGGGTGGTGCTGTTGGTAAGAAGGGTGGTGCTGCTATTATGAGGGGTGGTGCTGCTATTATGAGGGGTGGTGCTGCTATTATGAGGGGTGGTGCTGTTACAGGGGGTGGTGCTGCTGCTATGAGGGGGGTGGGGGGGATGCTACAACGGGCTGCTGATATAAGGAACAGCATGCAGGATGGGATGCTGTGGATGGTATGCGGTATGACTGGAGGAGAGTGGAGAGGGGAGCAGGGGCGGAGGAGAGGGGAGCAAGAGTGAAGGAGAGTGGTGAGGGGGGAGCAGGGGCGAGGGGGAGTGGGGAGTAGGGTGCAACAAGGGACGGTGTAACTATGTAACTATGGGAGTTGGCCGAGTGCAGAGCGGAGTGGGCAGCAGAGGTGAGGCAGAGTGAAGTGGGGCAAGGGTGTGGGAGAGGCGAGGGGGAACGGGAGAGCAGAGGTGGCCTGGTACTTAGTGGGAGGGGAAGCAGGGAGAGCAGGAGGGGGAGCGGGGAGAGCAGGGGCGAGGGGGAGTGGAAGGAGAGTGGAGGGGAGTGGATGCGATCTGCAACATGCTGCAACCTGGTGTTTCCTGGTGGCAATGGTGAGTAGATTTGTAAATACTGTGATTTGTTGTTTCTCTACTGAAATCGCAGCTGCTCATGTTTCATTCTGCTTCTTGTCCTTGCTGTTCTGCAGAGGAATGAAGAGAAGCTGGCAAGACTGCTACATGTGTTGGAAGTGTGTGGTGGTAGCATGTGTGGTCTGTTCATGTGTGTGTGTGGTGGTGATGTGCATGTGTGTGTGTGTGGTGGTGATGTGCATGTGTGTGTGTGGTGGTGATGTGCATGTGTGTGTGTGTGGTGGTGATGTGCATGTGTGTGTGTGGTGGTGATGTGCATGTGTGTGTGTGTATGGTGATGTGTTTGTGTCTGCGAGCATGTGGGTGTGTGGGTGCTGTGTTTGTGGCAGCATGTGTGGGTGGGTGCATGTGGGGGGTGTGGGCATGATTGTGATATGGGGGTGCATCTGTGCCATCTGCATCAACCCTCCCATCTGCATCTACATCAACCCATCTGTATCTGTATCAACCACTCTGCATCTGCATCAACCCTCTATCTACATCAACCTTCCATCTGCATCAACTTCCGTCTGCATCAACTTCCGTCTGCATCAACTTCCGTCTGCATCAACTTCCGTCTGCATCAACTTCCGTCTGCATCAACTTCCGTCTGCATCAACTTCCGTCTGCATCAACTTCCGTCTGCATCAACTTCCGTCTGCATCAACTTCCGTCTGCATCAACTTCCGTCTGCATCAACTTCAACTTCCGTCTGCATCAACTTCCGTCTGCATCAACTTCCGTCTGCATCAACTTCCGTCTGCATCAACTTCAACTTCCGTCTGCATCAACTTCCGTCTGCATCAACTTCCGTCTGCATCAACTTCCGTCTGCATCAACTTCCGTCTGCATCAACTTCCGTCTGCATCAACTTCCGTCTGCATCAACTTCCGTCTGCATCAACTTCAACTTCCGTCTGCATCAACTTCAACTTCCGTCTGCATCAACTTCAACTTCCGTCTGCATCAACTTCCGTCTGCATCAACTTCAACTTCCGTCTGCATCAACTTCAACTTCCGTCTGCATCAACTTCAACTTCCGTCTGCATCAACTTCCGTCTGCATCAACTTCCGTCTGCATCAACTTCCGTCTGCATCAACTTCCGTCTGCATCAACTTCCGTCTGCATCAACTTCCGTCTGCATCAACTTCCGTCTGCATCAACTTCCGTCTGCATCAACTTCCGTCTGCATCAACTTCCGTCTGCATCAACTTCCGTCTGCATCAACTTCCGTCTGCATCAACTTCCGTCTGCATCAACTTCCGTCTGCATCAACTTCCGTCTGCATCAACTTCCGTCTGCATCAACTTCCGTCTGCATCAACTTCCGTCTGCATCAACTTCCGTCTGCATCAACTTCCGTCTGCATCAACTTCCGTCTGCATCAACTTCCGTCTGCATCAACTTCCGTCTGCATCAACTTCCGTCTGCATCAACTTCCGTCTGCATCAACTTCCGTCTGCATCAACTTCCGTCTGCATCAACTTCCGTCTGCATCAACTTCCGTCTGCATCAACTTCCGTCTGCATCAACTTCCGTCTGCATCAACTTCCGTCTGCATCAACTTCCGTCTGCATCAACCGTCCAACTGCATCAACCGTCCAACTGCATCAACCGTCCAACTGCATCAACCGTCCAACTGCATCAACCGTCCAACTGCATCAACCGTCCAACTGCATCAACCGTCCAACTGCATCAACCGTCCAACTGCATCAACCGTCCAACTGCATCAACCGTCCAACTGCATCAACCGTCCAACTGCATCAACCGTCCATCTGCATCAACCGTCCATCTGCATCAATATTATGTAGCTCAACTCTCTGCATCAATGATCAATTTGTCATATTGTGTGACAGTTATTGCACAGTCCACCGTACTGTATTTACATAGATACCGTTTTAGAATTTCCAGTCAAAATAGAGACACAATGTGTGGGTGACGTGGCACTGCACAAAACTCCCCTTTCGAAGGGTTGCTACTGTAAACCCCCGTATGTAGGACCCCCTCCAGTTGTGGACCCCCGGGTCTATTTGATCCGTTTTAGTTATACCCCCCTTTTCTAGTGCAATCATTATAAGACCCCCCTATCCTTCGGAAGAATGTAGCATTTGCATATTTTTTTTGTATTGAAATCGAAGCGATTTCAGAGAGAACAAATTTTCTCCTCTTCCGATGACTGCGCGTGGGTATCGCACAGTCAACCTGGTCAAATGTTGTATTTTTCGCCACTGCCAATGTGGTGATAACTAATCTGTCCAGAGGCGAGAGTGATGCCACCTGGCAAAAACCTGAGGGTGGTGACATTCACGCCTTCACGCACATTCGCTGCCAAGCTGCGAAGTACAACTGACGCAAATATACACAACACACATGAATTCACTTTATAGATACTAAAAACAAATACCATGTATTAAGACCCGGGTCTTATAAAATATATACGATATAATTATACCCCCCAACTTTTTTAGGCCAGATTATCATAATACCCTAGGGTCTTATGTACGGGGGTTTACGGTACTAAGGTCTTGAGTCTTGACAAATCACAAATGATCGAAACGTGCGCTTGGTAGCTGAAAAAATTTTGGTTGCTTCATACCCGACAAAACGGTGTTCCTTCTCGTGTGTGAGTAGAATCTAGTTCTCACGCGTGAGAAATATCTTCGCGCGATTGACTGGCCCTGTTTCGCCAAAACAACGCGTGCTATAGGTTTCGCATGTTCAATTCATTGCGCAACAGCGTTCGTTTTGATGTCTGAAAAGCGGCAGTGTTCGTTTTGATGTCTGAAAAGCGGTGTTAATAATGAAATCGCTCGAATGACCAATTCTGACAAGAGACCAGCCTGACTAGAGGCCGTAGGAACACGCTCTCACATGCACTCCACCACAAGCGAACACACACATGCACACACACCTACACAGACCACACAAGCGTCCAACACATTTAGTCATCTCAAACTGCGTCTTGATTCATCTGCAGAAACAGCACAGCCAACAGATACCGTATTCTCCCGGACATAACACCCTAGGGTATAGCTAAAAATACAGGGAAAAAATGGGGGGGGTCTCCTCATAGGAAAAAAATACATAATACCCGGGTCCTTACATATGGCATATCTTAGTGTTAGTGTTTTTTTAATTAGTCAATGTGGGTGTTTTGCTGGTCGTTTTAGCATCACTGCCTGAGGCGCGAATGTGAGTTTCGGCCTCGAACTTCATCGCCCCCACGAAAATGGCATGTGGCACCTCTCTTGCCACTTGCAACGGAAGATTCACCTGCACGTGGCGACAGAGAAATAGTGGGAGGGGGCAAATCTCGGCAGATTGCCTTTGAATGTACCGCGAAATTTCATTGAGGGAGAAATTCACACGACATTCTTCCGTATTGCAGCTACTCGTTAACGACTATAATAATGAATCCGTAAGAAAAGGGGGGGTGTTATAGAAAATCAGCCAAAAAGGGGGGTATAGTAGAAACGAGGTCTATCATAACACCCACCCCGCACAAGCTACCCGGGGGTGTACAATTATGGGGGGGTGTTTTGTCCGGGAGTATACGGTAGATTTAGAAACAGAAATCTAGCTGCATTTACAGAAGAGAAACAACAAATCACAATCAGAAACTCCACACTCACCAACTTCACCGGCAAACCACCAGACTGCATGTCCTCTCCTCATTTTTTAGTCGACTCAAAAATCAGCATGCGCTCTCCTCATGACTACTCGCCCCTACTCCCCTTCCTCTCGCCCCTACTCCTCCCCTCTCTCTCGCCCCTACTCCTCCCCTCCCTCTCGCCCCTACTCCTCCCCTACCTCTCGCCCCTGCTCCTCCCCTCCCTCTCGCCCCTGCTCCCCCCCTCCCTCTCGTCCCTGCTCCCCCCCTCGCCGCTGCTTCCCCCTTCCCCACTCCCCCTCAACCTAAACCCCTTGTAGCAGCATCACCCATTTTAGCAGCAGCACAACAGAGGACCAGCTGTGCCCACTAGCAGAAACCACCACTCCCACCAGCAGAAACCATCACCCCCACGAGCAGAAACCACCACCCACACCAGCAGAAACCACATGTATGAAGAAGGGTTTTGAGACGTTCAAAACCCTTCTTCATACAGGTAACCACCACCCCCACCAGCAAAAACCACCAGGCGCTCCCAGCAAGTCAGGCGCTCTCAGCATGACAGCTGCTCTCAGCATGACCCCCAAGCCCCATGGCTGCTCCAACGGCCAGAGAATGCATTCTCAGCTCAGCCACCGTTGGGCACGAGCAGTCCCAGCAGCATGATAAACAGCAGCTGCACCAACGCGTCCACAGGGGACTGTGGGAAGGAGAACGCGAATGGGGTGAACTATGAAAATGAGGTGAGTACAAATATGAAACCCTAATTGGTTGTACCCCCTATGGGATACCCCACTATAGCCTACACAACAGCATAAGCTATAATGTTCTGACACACCTCCATAGGCAAAGTGGGGGAGAACAAGGGGTCACAAGACCAGTCAAGCAAAGCAAAGCAAAGCAAGCTCAGGGTGGATCACAAAGTCACCACACAGTCCGAGCACAGGGTCAAGGCCACACGGCCAGTTCACATGCAAGAGTACACACATATATATAAAGCTAGACAAGCAAGAGCAGGTATATATATATGTGAGAGTACAAGCAAGGTCAAGAGGAGAGCAAGTGAGGCAAGACAGGCACAAGACCCAGCTGAGTGCAGAAGCGCTGATGATCACAAGGCGGAAGTGCCTTGGTGAAGACATCAGCAGTGTTGGCCTCAGAGGCCACGTACGCAAGCCGCAACTGTCCACGTTGCTGTAGCTCACGAGCAAGGAAGTAGCGGAGAGCAATGTGCTTTGTTCTGTGCTCCAGTCTCTGCTCTCGACACAAGGCCAGCATGGCCTTGTTGTCTACGTACAGGACTGGAGGAGAACGAGGCGGCTCTCCAAGGTCGGTCAGCAGGTAGGTGAGCCAGCGAAGCTCCTGTGCAGCCATGGCCCCG